TTTAAGTACATATCAGCATGACTTAAATATTATATTTCTAAAAATTTTGATCAGTACGATGTACTTTTTTCATAGAAATACTCATCGTGACAGACACTTTTAGAGTAATTTTACTAGTAAATACAACTACACTGCTAGCCAATAGCACTGCTACATCATAGTAAAATTATGTTTATTGTACACATACAGTATAATGGGAGTAAGCCATAATTAAATTGACAAAGGTACAGAACACCACGTTGTACCTTTCAAATTTTGCGTTGAAGATAGCACGCGAATTTTATGTTGCGTGCTAACTTTATTGTTTAGCAATTTTAATGACAAGCAGTGTACATAAAAACTGAGTTTATTACGTGAAATTAAAAAAGTAACTGTACAAAAAGTGATAAGATTGAAAGCAGTTAGATGAATTGATTTCACTACATAATAAAATCAAATCGTTGTACAAATCTACAAAAGGTGTAAATTGAATGTTCAACTATAAACACAAAACTTATATTAGTTGTTACTTCACTAATAGACTAGTGTTATTTTGAATACTAATATGAAAACGACATGTGTGTCGGTCAAAATTTACTAACTTTTCATCACCGTATTATTATTACTACTTTTGTATTGCAAATTATATAGAGTAAAAGTAAAATATCTTAGTGTCTTGAAACTGTTTAGGATGTTGTCGTAAGATGTTGTAGACGAAGTTTCACTTATAAATAAAATTGGTTAAATACTTAAATAATGTTTTATCTTTTGCTTGATGTTTTTATTATTTACTAATCGCTAAACACTTAAAATATGATATCCGATTACGTGTTTTCTTATGTATGGAAGTTAGTGTATACCTTTGTGTATGGAAGAATGATTTTGATTACTTTCCTTGAAGCTTAATAACTCTTAAGCTATTTTTGTCCGAATTTCTAAAATTCTGCAGAGCGGTTTTCTGATTTGGGAGATTCATGCTATTGTATTTTGTTAATTAAAACAGTTGACGTTGTCGGTTTGGATGACTAGGAGTTTACGAAAATACGCAAATCGTACGATGGCGGATTCCGGTCAGGAACTGACACCAGTTAGGATAATTATACGCATCCTAACTCGCGATTCGTAACACTATTTAAATATTAGCAAGTCTCGTTAAACAATCGAATAGGGAGGGAGGACGCGTTGGGTAAGTCGGTAGATGTCTTTCGCTCGAATAAAACAGGTTGACGGATTAACAGATAACAAAATACTTTAATATATATCTAAATCTAGAGAATACATTATTCTTATACAATAAGAGGCGATTATATACACAGGTAAATAAAATCAGACGACATAGTTCCTTATGCAGCTCACGATACCTGTGCTTGCTGATCTATGTCCTAATTTCAGTGTAGAGAGAGATTTTACATCAATTTCTAATAAAATATCTTAGAGAGCACTTGTCGGTATATATAGCAAAAATAATATTATCAAAAAGAATAATATTAAACACAATTTCATGATATTTTTAAGAAAGCTTATTTGGGGCACGACTTCTTTCTCTGTATACACCCAAGATACAAATATAATAAAATTTGTTTTCCATTGTTTCTTGCTTTCCTATCAACTTTTGTATCTAAAATGGAAAAACAAAACATTATTTATATATTGTATATAGTATTTTTGAAATCTTATACAGGTAAAGTTCAACATATATAAGATAACAGCAACATTATTTAATGTTTTCTGAGAATCTTATAAATATATGATATACACTAACCTCACAGTTTAGAATGTTCAGTTTGCTGCCGCTTTTCCCGTTTGCAGTTCCGCACCCATTTTGCTTTTTTCCGCTTATCTGCAAGAAATCTAAATAATCGAACATCTGTAGATTTTCTCTTACAATTTCGTGTCACACAATAACCCAGTCTTTAAATTAAATTAAAAGTACTTATATATATAATATAGACGATTCACGCAGGAACCACACGNATATATTGTATATAGTATTTTTGGAATCTTATACAGGTAAAGTTCTGCATATATATAAGATAACAGCAACATTATTTAATGTTTTCTGAGAATCTTATAAATATATGATATACACTAACCTCAGACAGTTTAGAATGTTCAGTTTGCTGCCGCTTTTCCCGTTTGCAGTTCCGCCCCCATTTTGCTTTCTTCCGCTTATCTGCAAGAAATCTAAATAATCGAACGTCTGTAGATTTTCTCTTACAATTTCGTGCCACACAATAACCCAGTCTTTAAATTAAATTAAAAGTACTTATATATATAATATAGACGATTCACGCAGGAACCACACGTGGAGTGAACTCTATCGCCCAAAATAGCCGCTGCCGCAAATAATCACTTGTTCCAACCTTTTTATTTAGACCTTGGTTTTAAATATTGCAGGAAAGTTAAATGTGTTTATATCTACAATAAAATACATAGTAATATATCTTCCTTGCTTCTAACAACGCAGTTTTAGGTAGGCTTGTTTCTCTTCGTACCAACGGTCGCGTTGCCTTATATCTAATTTTTAAATCCCTTGGCCAACTAATTCGAAGCTGGGCTATTTAACGGGTGCGTTTCGGTTGGCATACCTGTCTCGATTTGTTCGGGACAACTCGCTAACCAACCCTTTCCTGAAAACTTGCCCCCCGACAATTGAAAACTTGACTAACTTGTAAGTATTTCGTCACACGATAGGCCTCCTTGACACCTCCCTCGTGAAGGACCTAACTGAACTCTATCAAGTCTGTTTGATACATTCTTATAACTTCTATTAGTCAATTCACAACAATTCTAAATGTAGAAGAGATGAATAAGTCCTTTCAAATTATCAGTCAGTCGGAATCAGCAACTTCCTCACTTAAAAATGACAGATTTCCTCTTTCCATGTTAAAGTATAGTAACATAAAATAATATAATTGTTTAGTTATTTTGTAAAACATTTTATTTATTTTATATTTTCTTAATTAAAATAATTTAATTTTTCTAAATAAGATATTATAGAATAAATAAAATTTTTACAGAATTACTGAACAATTATTATTAATTTTTATTCCTTAAAAAATTAAAAAGAACAGCTTTAATTATTGTAAATTAATTGCGTGATTAATATGACAAGTAAGGTTCTTCAGGATATGAAATTCATTTAATATTTTCTGCGAATATTAATTATAATAAAGGAATATATATAAAAATTCATTATATAATCGACATTATTATATAACTTACTTTTAACGTTTTATAATTACTAAATTTTAAAAAATATGCAATGATTTTTTCAATGCTCTTTACTCAAATTAGGTAGTGAATTACCCCCGTACATCATACTTTTCCTGTTAAATCAGTCTTGTCGGTCATCTATCTAATTCCTTTCGGGGTATAACATGGAATTAAAATCCCGTGACGTTCGGTCTAGACCGGAAGTTCGTACATAGTTAGTTAGTCGGAGCCTCCTGCCCCTGAGCTTCCGATATCTGGTCTCGACTTTCATTCATTTAGCACCATTTTCAAAAACCTCTTGTTGGTTGTGACGTAAAAGATCTCGTGATATGTTGTGACGTTCCAGTACCACATGATATAAATAATAACGTGAGGTGGAATAGCACGTCACTCTATATCACGTGATAAGGCGTACAATCACTTCAGACCTATGTTTGACCGGTCCAGATAATGTCGATATTATTAATGGACAATACTTTGGTATGTCGATTGTGGAGAACGTTTATTCTTTCTTTGTAACATTTCATCTTCAGAAACGAATAGTCGCCATCCATTATCATATTTTATTTTTAAAAACTTTTCATATTTTTAACTGTTATAAAACGGCAAAAAGCTTAATTTTGATAAATGGGATGGGTTGCATTAAAGATTATAAAAGATAATAACGAGTAAAATGGTCATAGACTCCAATCCTAGTGGAGATACACACGTTTTCCTTTATATCCCTACCCCATCGATCTTTAATCACCAATATTTAATATCATTAATCTTCCTAATATTCAAACCTCCCTGCAAAATTTCAGAACTTGTCGACAAAAAGTACGAGAGTTATTAAGGTTCAAACAGGGTAATCAAAATCGTGTCCCCCCGCGAACACACAGACACTAACATTCATACACAAAGAAATTACCCACGAAGTATTTTGCATTTCAATGTGTTAAAAGTCCCAAAAATTTAAAAATTTTGGGATCATTTTTTGACCGATCGTCATATTTTCCCTCTTTTATACAAGTTTATAACAGCGGGGAAAGTAAAAAAGAAACGTGTTGTTGATTGGGTGTTTGTCACAACATTGTTCTCTTTGTGTTACATCTTCATTTTTATTGTACTTTTGTGCTCTTTTTCCTTTGAATCATTGGGCAGCAATACTTTTATATTTGTTAGAAATCATACACTTGTAAAATGTTTTCAGTTTTATAAGTGCAAAGTATAATTAGAACACAAAGTACAATGAAAAGGGAAGAAATTAAGATGATAAATGTAAATATAGAATCGAAATAAAATGAAAAATTACAGCAGAAAAAAATTAGAAAATGAAAGTCATAACTATTTTAAACGAGGAAATTAGAAAAACAATTAATAAATAAGACGTGTCTTTTATATCACACTTCCAACTTTATGTGGCAATTAAAATCTATAATTGACAATTGACAGGGAATATAAAAACATTCAACTACGTGCACAATTGTGACATACACAACGTGTAGTCTAAGTGTATATATAGAATATGTGTATATAATAAACCTCTACAATAAAAATGGATTAGACATATTATAAATCTCAGAATACTTATTTAATAATAATCTGAACTGTCGGTTATATCAGCGAAACGAAATCAAGGAAATTAATCAAATATAATGTCATCATTCTCTTCGATAAAAATAAGAAATAATGAGTCATTATCAGTAATTAACTCGATTTAGCAGTCAATCCACAATAAGTGACGGTTGTAACCACAAATGCTGGTGTATTCCGCAAAGACTCGCATCTCACTTAAATAGAAGAAACGACGAAACTCTGAGAAGAAAAGATGAGGTTGGTAATCCTTTTTACATTCCTATTTTCGCTAGTAAACTGCTGCCAACATTTTTGGAATCAATGGGGAAATTCTTCTTGTAAATCGCCAATATACAAATGTCGTAGATTTGGAGAATTTCATTTTATGAATGGTTTAGAAACAATACATGTTCGGGAGAAAACGAAAAATAATTCTTGTATATCGACTGCCGATAGGTGTTATACATCAAATAGACATTCCTCTGTGGAAATTCTCAATAATTCGTTATCTGTCACTTGCAGTGACGAAGAAACCATCGATTTTCGTTTGATGCGTTGTTTAAATGTTAAACACGTTAAAAATTTAGAATTTATCGATTGTTACTTGGCGAAATTTGCAGTCGAAAGATTCGCTTCGAATTACGCCATCGAGAAAATCGTCATAAAATACACGAGTGAGACGTTGAATTTCGAAAGTGCATCATTTATTAATATGTCGTCTCTGAAATATTTACAGATTGAAGGCGTAAGAACTTTCGGCATATTCAATTTGAGTTTTTACAACGATTCTTCTCTGATTTCTTTGAAAATCACAGATTATAACTTTACGTCGTTTCCGCGTAAACCATTCCAACAATTGAAGAATCTTGCTAAATTACAATTGAACGATGGTAAATTAAAGGCTTTGCCAGAAGAACTCTTTCATGGTCTTTATAACTTGAAAACCCTCGATTTAAGTAATAACTTAATTGAATCCGTTCATCCTTTAGTCTTTCGACATCTCACTTTATTGGAACAGTTGAGTTTGGAAGGAAACCCAATAATAAGTTTACCCGAAGACTTGTTGAAAGGTCTTTCGAATTTACGAATACTTTCTATTTCTGGAAATTTTTTTCGATTGCGCTCTGTATTTTTGAAGGGACTCGACAATCTGACAGAATTTCGCGCTTCTAATTTTGCTTTACTTCGAATCGAAGAAGATTTCTTTTCCCATTCCATGAACTTAAGAAAGGTTGACTTCAATTCGAACCAAGTTCTGCATCTTCCATCCAATCTTCTCAAAAATAATAAAAATCTGGAAGTTTTTCATTGCGAGAAGAATAAATTATCGACACTACCGAATGGAATTTTTGACGGACCTTCCAACTTGAAAGAAATCAGTATGAAAGGAAATGTTCTAGAAAATATTCCAGAGAATTCTTTTCAACGTTTGTCGAATCTGGAAGAACTAGATTTAACATATAATCGCTTGACATTTTTACCTAAAAACATTTTTCTTCCAACGAATAATTTACGAATTCTCCGTCTTTCTCATAACAATTTCAGTAAAATTTCTTTCGACTTCAACAATAAACTCGAAGAACTCTATTTAGAGAAAGCGGGTTTGACGGAATGGCCGAATTTAAATTGGACAAAATACAATTTGACTTATATTGATTTTACAGGGAATATTTTCGAAACTGTCAAATTGCCTATTTACACTCCTAACAGCTTAATGATCGACTTTTATTTCTGTCACATAAAAACAATTTACATCGATGAATGGAAATACGGATTTAACCGACCCACTTATGAATTACGGTTTAACCCAATAACTTGTGATGGAGAACTTTTGCATTTCATCAGTACTGTTCAATCGAATTTAGAAATTTCATTACAAATTTTTCCGGATGTAAAAGACATGAAATGTCACGGAGAAGAAAGAAAATTGCTGGAATATACGCAATTCTACGTCATTAGAAGCCATTGTCCACAAAACTGCCAATGCTTCTCGGAAAACGACGAGCTCAGAGTCGATTGTAATAGAAAGGGAATAAAGAAAATACCCGAATTTCTGATCGAAAATGCGACAATCGTCGACTTGAGTAATAATTACATAAATGAATTGTCGACTGTGGATTATGGAACGTGGAGCAAAGTCACCCGTCTGCACCTCAGCAACAATTCTCTATTGCATTTTCCGGATTCTGTTCTTTTGCCAAACATCAAATTTCTTTGGTTGAACGGAAACCGGTTAACCGAATTGCCTTCCGGATTAATGAATCTGATCGACGTCTCCGCTGAATTCACGGTGTACTTATCGAGAAACGATTGGATCTGTGATTGCCATTCGCGATTTACTAAAGACTGGTTGCTTCGAAACAAAAGGAAGATTGCAGATTTCTCCCATGTTTTATGCACGAAAAATTCGTCTTTTCCGTTCTTTACGGAAATTGTTTCTGGTGATCGATGCACACAAATTTCTGAAGACAATTTGATGTCGTCAGTAAATGGTTCGGACGCAGTTAATTCTGTTTTCTGGTGGAGAATCGCAGTTGCCGTTCTTGCTTTTCTACTGTTATTCAGTTGGATTATTCTTGCTTCCTTTGTTTATTGTCGTAAAAAAGAAAATGTCGATAAAGTGCTAGAGCCAAAGGAAGAAGAAGTGATTTATTACAATGTTTACAACTGACAATTCCTGTAATTACGGCAATTCAAATGCATCGACTTTGTACGCTTTAATGAATAATTTTCCACAAATTGTTGTTAATTTGTATTTGTTTATGCTCAAGTTAATTATGTATACTTCAAATATGCTGTACTTTGTTATTGAATTTTTATTATTAATTAGACAATAAAATGTTTATTAATTATATAATCAATTTGTGAATTTCACACAAAGCGAATACTGAATTTAAATAATTAAACAGTTTCGTTTAATTATTCAAATTCAGTATGTATGTTTGATACTCCCTTTTTAGCTTAATAACTCCTATGCTTTTTGTCGGAAACGTCTGAAATTTTGCATGAAAGTTTACTTATTAGGGAGATTAATACTGTTAAATTTTAGTGGTTGAAGATCGAAAAAGTAAGGAAATAATATGGGTTGTGTTTATTTCCATTCGGGTCAAGTTTAAAGAAGATTTTACTCGTTATCACTTACAATTTTTTTCATAAAACTCATTCCTACCCTAAAATTAAGATTTCTGCCTTATTATACTTTAAAAATATAAAAAACGATAACAGATGGCGCCACCAAACTTTTAAATGTTGCCGGGAAAGTTGAGCAACTCGTTGCTGGTATAATGATGTTTAATAACTTAGAAGCGAAAGTAATGGTAATTTGTTAATTTACTTTATTTTTAAAATATTTAAAATATTTTAAATTCTAAAATATTTTTGAATGTTCGAACTGAAATTTTCAAAATGGCTCTTCGGAAAAATAAGAATAAATTCGTCTGTATCTAAACTTCATGGAGTATGAAGGTATATTTTGATGCTATCATTTACAATATATTTTTATGTGCATAAATATAGTACTGGTGGTATCTTAGAATTGTTAAAATAATATTTTCTAAACCTATAAAACTTCGTTGTATTGTCACTATCAGACATGGAAACCTGAATCGAATGAAAGGAAGGGCGTCAATACCGAATACAGATAATGTTTCCTGTTATAGTAGAACCTGTGTCATCCTTCTGTCATCGATCTTCATAATATATATGAAGATAGATGAATACTAAATTCTCTTACCGATACAGAAAAATGATTTTCCAATCCACAATCAATACACAGTCCTATGCATACGGTATTGTATAGTACAATCAACTAATATTTATTAAATACACAGTGTAGTATTTATATGCACTATAGGCTAGTAAACAATACAGTAATACCAGCTTACATACAGTAAATTTCGTACACCGTGTATTTGATTATGACAATCGAGAGAAAAAACAGTACTCTACTCCGTAGTGTTAATCGACGTGATTAATATTTTTATCAGATAAAGAAACATAGAAATCTATAAATTTTATTAATTAATACAGTTAATTAATAGTATGATACACAACATTTTAAAAATATTAGTTATACTACAAAAGCTTTTTATGCCCCGATCGTGTCGCCCTACTACGGCGAAAGTAAGAAACATTTCTAATATTAAAACATACGCAACGTTTTATATGCGCATATGCTAATACTAATAATGTTTCTTAATTTGACCGTAATGAGGCGATACCGTCGGGGCTCTCAATAATTTTTTTTTTTTTTAATTTAAAAATTATAGAGTTGAACCTCCAATAAAGACCACCTCTAAATGGCACCCATTTTCTCAAGTACGTTACAAAAATTCATATAAAATAACTTCTAAACAGCTGAGTCTCTCGACAATGGCTACTTTTTATGTTTCGTCAGTGACATTTATTCAAAGATTTGACTGTATTTACAATATATGTGAGACATCGCTTTACCGCTGCTACTTTATAATCCCCGTTTTTACAAATTTCCAGGAAACGAACTCGATTAATGACACAATATACGGGTAATACGGTATCCGCGACACTTGCTTAAGGTGTTGATTTATTTATAACTGTATCGCGTGTAAAATACTCTTAAATATAAGATAAGCACCATAAAAGGTGTTAAATACCAGACAGTTGCGGATAAGAAGCGCGGCGTTATAACGAGGGTAGCGATAATTTTAAATACACCAGATTTCCGATACGCAATTAAAATTTGCGTTATAAGCGAGGACAGACGTAAATCGAAGTTATACATATTTTTACCCCCTTTCTACGCTCGAAACTTACTACTTAACAAGCGCATACCGTAAATAATTACCTGGATAAAGCGTGCAAAAGGTAAACAACACGACCGAATGGCCATAGAGTAAGCGCTCTAAACACTTCTTCCGTCGGCCAAATTTGCCTGGAATTAACGAAAAAACGCTGTTAGGAGTGTAAATTTTCGATGTGAAAACAATTTACCGCATTCGAGTGAGGAAATTGCAGATTTCTGCTGTCATTTCGTAGTCATGTCCTTAGTTAATGGAGCAGAAAGGAAGGTAAGTCAATCGTCTAGAAATATGCAGTAATGGAATTGATCTGATCGGTTTCCACAGGTTCACGAATGACAAAGACAAAGAATAACACCCCCTTAACCTTGCCAGTACGGTCCTCTACGTCCATTATAGATTTTAATCGCGTGGAAAACTAGTGTCACCCCGTTATAACCCGAGTAAATTGGACAATTCGGAACACGACTAGCAGTCCTACCAGTTTTACTTGCCACTTCCTGTTACTTTTCTCGTCGTCTGTGTTACGTTACTCGTTACTTACCGTTAACTTGCGATTAAAATTGGCATTTTTAGTGCAATAGATTGCGTAACGAACCGACAGAAAATTGCTCTACATTAATTCAATTCGCCTTGTATAGGGTCGTTGTCACTATGACCTCTAAATAGCGCACCCGACAACGTACCTTAAACTAACTCGTCACCTTGATCATACAAGATGGAAATTCAGGTAAGAATACACCTTTGTGACCTATCCTCCCTCCTATTTAAGTTTAGTTACGCAGAACTTTCTATATTTTTAATTCGAAAAAACCTAGTATATGTGTAGAGTAAGCGAATGTTTACGCAGCCGTAACGTAATTTTGTGACGCTTTATTGTTATATTTATCTCTAAAAATTACAACAGTCGTAACCTTAATGCGGTAAACTGGCTGTGAAATGCTTTACAAACGTACTAGTTACGATAAATGTAAAAACTTTTATGACTATTTCCCGAAATTGCGGTTAAAAATTCATACTTTTAGTGAAGTTTCTTGCTTAAATTTACCATTTCTAGTGAAATTTCTTGCTTAAATTTACCATTTCTAGTGAAATTTCTTGCTTAAATTTACCATTTCTAGTGAAATTTCTTGCTTAAATTTACCATTTCTAGTGAAATTTCTTACTATTATTTACTCATTTTTAGTTAATTTTTTACAAAAATTTATCGTATTTAATGAAATTTAATACTAAAATATACCTTTGTAGTCATAAAAATCGTCATAAAATCAAATTTTTTCACTAAAAATGGCATATTTTAGGGACAAACTTCAAAGTTTTCTGAGTAACGTCAATTTGCTGTTTGTTTCTAATTTAAAAAAACTCTTGTTTTATATAAAAACACGATTTATTTTTTATTTAGAAATGTATTTTCGCGTTATATAACGATCTACTTTTTTATAAAAAAATCAATTTAATTATTAAAAAAAACTCGAGTTTTGTACTCGAATTCTACTTTTTTTCAGTTCCTCGCTGTTCGTATGCAAAAGTATAGAACATGTTTGACTTGTAAGAAAGGCGGTTTTTGTGTTTATTGAGGGCAGAATAAAATAAAATGAATATTTTTCTCGATAGCGCAGGAACTAATTTAAAGATTTCAGGGTGGAAAATGATGTCAAATATTTAAAATTCGAAAGGAGGACCAAAGTATCATTCCTGAGCTACATACAAAGTGGTAGAAAGGGCTGCATAAATGACTTTGCTCTGCTTTCTATCCAGAAAATGCCAATTTTTTTAGTTAAAAACAATTCTAATATTTAAACAATAGTATCAAGACGTTTATAGTTTATAAATTATATATAACTATAGAGATAATAGGATTTATAACATTATTTTAAGTTATATATACTTTTAAAAGTGTGTAGTTTGCTTCTAAAATATTATTTTTAATATATTTGACATGAAAATTAAACTTTAGAAAGGGAGAAGTTCGTTTTAAAGCGTAAACTTCGTATGCAAATTAGTTTCGCGCGTTATTTTATATGTTTCGTGGTAAGATAACTTATGGATTTTAATTAAATTTTATTTTTCTATCGTAGTTTATAATAAAATTTAAGTTTTTCTGATGCTCCCCGCATTATTTCACGTTATAATTTTGAAATTAACGAATGAAAATGTGATTATTTCGTATACAATGCTACAAATTAACGAATTATCTTGTTATTTTTTGTATAAATTTCAGCAGGAAGTCAAAGAAAAGTATCCAAAGTCAGTTTTTTTTATCATCGGCAACGAGTTTTGCGAAAGATTCTCTTATTATGGCATGAGAGGTGAGTTGACATTTTCACAAATATCATAAATTATCTGGTTATTAATTAATTGTCTTTCGTCATAATGTAACCTTGACGATTCCTTATCTTATATCGAGGTGTTACGTAATGCCATTTATACTAATTGCCTTTAACCGCTTTTCTCCGTCCGTAAATATGTTTATTTGAAAAATGCCCTACACAATTACAGGCCAACGTTAAAATCAACTTCCATCCCTTAAAAATTAAAATTTTTCCATAGAAACTCAAAAATTTTACATATTCAACACCGGATAATTGACGCTCTAAAGTCTTCGACCTTAAATCGAAGATAAACATCGGACTTTGACGTTAAACCGGGATAAAATTTTAAAAAAATTGTATTGAAGTAATATTAAATTATATGTAGGTCTAAGTGTTTTTAATTCGTGTGATTGCAACCGTTAAATAATTAAAATGCAAGCGATCGACTGTTTTCGGGTCATTCCCATTTACCAGAGTTATAAACGTGTTTTGTTTTATTTTTTCCATTGTGGCAATACTATTATGAAATTAATATATTCATTGTCTTACTATAAATTATACTATAAACAATTGTAATGTCCTCTGTCAACTCGGGTTAGCAGAGGATATAACAATTTTCTCAAGTAAAATTAAATTTTGTTTTACGTCCCTCTACCGAAATGGGAACAAAAGGAGGGATGATTTGCTTTAACCCAAGCTAAAGCAAACCTATTAGAAATAAAATTATAATTTTTTCTCTCCTAATCCTTTATTAAAAGTTTGCAAATGTTTCAGCCGTGTTGACCCTATTTCTGACGCAGATTCTTCTGTATAGTGAAGACACGGCTACTGTCATTTTCCATGGATTTGCTATGGGATGTTACTTTACACCATTGTTTGGTGCGTTGGTGGCCGATGTTCTCCTCGGAAAATTCAAGTAAGCGATTATTTTATAAATTAATACACTAAAAATATGTTCTTTTGTTCGACCGTTATTCCTAATTTGGCTAAACTTTACATTTTAGGACAATACTTTACATATCTATACTCTATGTACTAGGAAATGTCGTCATCTCTCTAGCTTCTATACCTAATTTCATACCTATGAGGTAGGTCCATCATATACACTCAATATTTGAATTTGAATTTTCGGGTTCGTTGGAGATTTGTGTGCCCCTGAATCCAGTTAACAGTGTTCTGTTACTAAATTCAAATATTTGCCCTGTTACACTTAGTAGGTACCGAAATTGATCTGTAATTTGCATATTTTGTACTTTCTCAGGCCGTTGACCATCTTGGGACTGCTCATGATCGCAGTTGGCACTGGAGGAATTAAGCCCTGTGTTTCTGCGTTTGGTGGAGATCAGTTCAAACCGAGTCAGGTAAAGTAAAACTGCTGATGTACAGTTTATACGTGTGTAAAATGTTATTATAATTAAATAAATACTTAATTTTATAAAGGAAAAACAACTACAGAGGTTCTTCTCTCTATTTTACCTATCCATCAACGCTGGAAGCTTGTTATCCACCTTCTTAACTCCCGTTTTGAGAGGTAATATTTGTATAAATGACTATTTTACTAATTATCACATTTAAATTTGCTCTTATTTTCTAGCCGATGTACACTGCTTTGGTAATTCTACGTGTTTTCCTTTGGCTTTTGGTGTTCCTGCCATCCTCATGATCGTAGCATTAGGTTAGAATATTAAAATTTCGCTTCATAATCTCATTCTTAGTGATCACTAATTAAGTTTTCATGTTTTTACAGTTATTTTTGTCATTGGTTCCCCTATGTATAAAGTGAACCCTCCAAAGGGCAATATATTAGTGGATGTAGTCAAATGTATATCGGTAAGTGATATTTAATTGAAATATATTATAGTTACTGATCTCTTGAACAAATCGTTATCTTTATAGCATGCCCTAGTAAAGAAAAGCAAGTCGAAAAAATCAGAAGAAACTAAGAACCATTGGTTAGATTATGCTGATGATAGATTTGATGTAAGTAGATAATTAGCAACATAAGAATTTACGGAAGAATCGTTTAGAATTAGAATTAAAGATGTATAATCCTCACAGTTTGGATTACAATATGAACCTACTACAAGAATAATAGTAAATTATGAATAATGTTAAACTGGATGAGTCAATAGCCCTCAAATGGAGCCAAATCAAGTTTGGTAACTCTCTACACTTCGCTCCCTTTATTTTTATTTGTGATATACTTAAGATTCATAAAACACCAGAAAAAGAAGTATGGACTGTAAATGGACATGGTGATTATCGGTTTAACACAGAAATTTGTCCTTTGTATTTAGTTAAATGGCACCCAAACAAACCTCTTTAACATACGAGTAAAATGAACCCTCTGCCTTTCTACTGAGAATTTTGAATCGCCCGAATTCCTAATTTTGGAACATTTTACTTGATTTTGCAATTGTTACATTAAATTGCAGTATCTTAGAGATAAGAGTACGGATTTATTGAACTGCATTATTAATAATTTTGATGATGTGATTGATACTATTCCAGGCAAAGTTAATTTCTGATGTGAAAGGACTTCTGTCGGTGCTATTTCTGTACTTGCCACTTCCATTATTCTGGGCGCTTTTCGATCAGCAGGTAGTGTATAACTTAACATAATTAAAATCTAACAACTCAATGTCAATTCTTAAAATATTTACAAATTACTTCTTAGTTTTTATTCATTCGCTCTTTGTTTATCTTCCAGGGTTCGAGATGGACATTGCAAGCCACAAGATTAGATGGATATTTTGTAAAATAAATACTTCTCTTTTGTGTACTTTCTAATGTTTAATGTTTACACAATGTTTCACCGTCGTTTCAGTTTGGTTATCGCATAAAACCGGATCAAATCCAAGTAGTCAATCCTCTCTTCATTATTGGATTCATACCGTTGTTCGATTACATTATATACCCATTCTTTGCTAAATTTAATTTGTTAACAAGGTAAAAACTACAAATTTTTTTATCATTTCTGCATTGGAGGGATTACGAAATATACCTTATTCTAGGCCACTTCAGAGGATCACAGTTGGAGGTTTATTAGCTGCTTCTTCGTTCTTTATCGCTGGATTTCTTGAGATTTCCATCGAGGTAAGTCAATTATTTCTTTTCTTCCAATTGATTTGTCCGTAGCAATTACACTAATCCTAATTACGCATGTATTTACATCTACAATATTTTAATATTTAGCAAAATATGCCCTCCCATCCTATGGAAGGTCATACGCACTTGAATATCATCAATAATGTGCCATGTAATTTGAAAATTGCTGGAGAAGTATTTTCTACAGAATTGTCTTATAAGCAGGTGATTAATCGAAGCGGAAATTAAATTTCATAACTATTTATACAAAAAAAATATACAAAATTTTCGTTTTTTAGATGTTTAAAGCCAAAGATGTTAAATCGGACGTTGTCCATAATTTAAAAATTACCGCTGATAAATGTGAAAGCGCCGATTATAACATAGATTCAATGACGTATCGTCTACGTACATTCAATTCTCTAGAAACTATTGTTTTTAGAAGTTTTAACAATACGCTTAACGTTCAGAAGGTAAGCGTAGAAGTTCCTAATTACAGTCGACCCCCTATAACACTGTTGATAATTCCGTTTTATACGAATTCCATGTTGTATGAGTCACTTAGATTTTACAAATATGTGAGCCGTTCACAGCCCGGCACACGTATTTGTAAAATCTAAGTGACTCGTACAACATGGAATTCATATAAAACGAAATTATCAACGGTGTTACAAGGGGGTCGACTGTAAACAATTTTAAAACTTGCTTAAGATAAATTGTGTTTTGTACAGGTTAACGACTCTCTAGAACACTCTTCTGAAGGCGATTCTCAAGTTAGATTCCTATTTGATTTCGGCAACAATTCTAAAGACAATTTCACAATTAATTTGAATGGTGATAAAAAGTTTCCTGTCCCAATCACTGATAGAAATAACGGAAGCACGCATTATCTTCACGTAACTCCCGGAAAGTGAGTATAGATCTGGAGTTTTATTTAAAAATTTCAATAACAGTGTAAAGCTACGTGCCAAATTTAATACTAGCATCGATGCAACGTGTGAAAAATAAACATATTTTAAAATATTGCACGATTTTTGCGCTTATGAGTATGCATATTCAAGCCATAACCTGGAAGATATCACATTGCAATCTACGAGAATCGGTGAAGCTTTAAAATTTTATATTTTAAACACTTGCGTGTGAAAGTAGCTTATAGTTTTGATCAATCGTAATAAAATATATTCACTTTATTATTAATGTAGCTATAGTTTAATGGTATGCTCGTTGAAGCATCGAAGATCTTCAGAGCATTTGTTTCACTTTAAAACTTGAAAAACGGTTTTAGAAATGATTTTTATTCACGAAAATAGTGATTATTTCAGTTAATATGAATAAATAAAACAAACTGTATGAATATTTACATATTGCAACTATTCTGGAAGCAAGAATCATATTGCTTTGAACGATGTACCTGAAAGTCCATCACTAAAACGTTCTGAAATGTCACAACATACTTAATTTTTTAATTACTTTATACTTATACAAACTGCAATTTTATATGCCAGATATAAAGTTGAAATCGAAGGAACAACCTTTCAACCCAAAGAAGAGAATAGCGAATTCAATTTTGAAACTGGTGGAATTTACATATGTACCGCTACCATCGATAAAAATAAGAAATTAGTGAGTTTTTCACATTTTTCTATAAAATCTTTAAAAATTTACAAGATTTAAATGTATATTAATTATAATTCAGAGATGGTCATTGAGTGTTGTTGGAGAACCAAACACGAAATCCATGCTTCTACAGATTCCTCAATATACGGCCATAACCGCTGGTGAAATTATGTTTTCTATCACTGGTTTAGAATTTTCTTACTCGCAGGTTTGTTGTAGTTTTCCAGGTAATTTTTAGCTCTTACAAACAGATTGATGATAATAGTAACTATTTTTCAGGCTCCAAAAAGTATGAAGAGTGTGGTTCAAGCTGCGTGGTTACTGACTACCGCCTTTGGGAATCTCATAGTTATGATAATTGCTGAATTAGAGTTATTCGAAAGACAGGTAAGGCTATGATTAATCTATAAATATCGTAAGAAATGCACCTTTCTAATGATAATTATTACTTTTCAGTCATACGAATTCTTCATGTTTGCTTGTCTGATGATCCTGGACATGTTGATCTTCGCTTTCATGGCTTATAATTACAAATATGTGGAAGAAACCAGTGAAACAACTAGCGAAATGCTGAATGAAAAAGAAAAAGAAAAACCGGAGAAAGGCAACGTGAACGAAGGTTTCGTAGAAAATACTAAAATGTGATATCGGAACTTCCCCGTAACTACTCTAAACTATTATGTAAAATATTGTATTTTAAATAAACTTTTTTGCTCATTTGTTGTTTTATTTAAGTCGATGCTATGCATACATTAAGTAAGCATACAGTGTATGGTCCTGTACATAGCAGTCTTATCATAATCATCATCTTATTAATTAAGCGTTATATCTTATGCTCTGTTAGAAGCTCAGAAATCTTTAATTTAAGATTTCTCTAAGATATTCCTCGGTAGTCAGTTACACAGTAAAGCTAATTTAGTGATTTTTAAGAAAAAAATCCCATGTAAATTTAATTTATGAAACCCTATAAGAACGAGACGAATATCTGTAGAGTATCACGTACTACAAAACCCGCTCAGAGAGGTCATTCACTCCAGTTCGTACCACATGACATCAACAGGTTCGTGTTGCAAACCGCCCGAATTAGTAATGCCTGGTCTCGAGTTACGTGAGTAGCAATACGAATACAAGTCGACCCCCCTATAACGCTGTTGATTATTCCGTTTTATATGAAATCCATGTTGTACGAGTCACTTAGATTTTACAAATACGTGTGCCGGGCCGTGAACGGCTCACGTATTTGTAAAATCTAAGTGACTCCTACAACATGGATTTGATATAAAACGGAATAATCAACTGTGTTATAAGGGGGTCGACTGGTACGTTAAGAGTGTCACTTGTCACGAACTCGTTAAGCAAATGTCTCATTGAACGAATTGGTACAACACTTTCGCGTTGCTATACCTTGATAGCGGCATACGTATTAATACTATAAAACCGGCCACAATTTTATCCCTTATTAGCTAATGAGTCTGGCTTTTAATGGAGACGCCTACAATGGGTATGCAACGAGAAATAAAGCTCCGAATCTGTACTATTCACGAAGTCCTGATCGAATTCGAATTCGGATCCTGTTTGGCCTGAAGACTAATGTTTATCATCCTCGCTAGAGGTCGCTCTTAGAGCCAGTGATGAGGTAACACGTGCTTAAAGCATTAAGCTTTAATATCTAACTGGAACACAGCGCTCTGTTGCTAGTAGCGGCGTACTCGAAACCGGAAGTGGCTTCAGCGTAGAATAAACCGCCATATTGTAATGTTTGTTTTTCTTTTGAACTCGAAAGTAAGAAGAAGGCAAATCAAAAAACGATAAAGAAAAACAAACATTCTTTTCAATATGGCGGTTTTCTAAGTACATAATGATCCTCATAGTTATAATATGCTAATTTCATAGATACGTATATTTAACGACACGTAAGCCAGTTTCTATGCGAGATATACGAGCAAGAAAGAGAGGAAATGACGTCAGAGACACATGATATCAGCAGCCAATTACCGTGACGATTCATTCCTACGTTGTAACAAAGACGATCCTCTTAACTAACTAATAAATTCATAATTATTAATTAATAATCTTTAATAAAATTAAATCAAACGTATTTTTTTATTTTATTTCTCATAATACTGTATAATAATATAAATAATAATTCAAAAATAAATAAAGATTTTTAAAATAAATTTAAACATGATTTAAAATTTGAGTTGGCAACTCTCTGGAAAAATATGGAAGGATCGTTTGGCTTTTAGTACGTCAGTCTCGCGTTGTTAAATTATAAAATTGAGTTAAAATGGGAGGAGGCGACTTGGTACGTATTCATTCCATATAATTTAACTAATTTCCAACAATTTTCTATTGTTTATATACATCGACATTCAAAATGGCGAACGTAAACTTACGTTTGGCTTATCGTTATAAAAAATTCAAATATTAAAGGGAAATTGTGTAATTTCTACGCCATATTCGATTACTACATTAAAAATAAAACCAAAAAATCAATTATGAAGCCGTTTACGTATAAATGGTTGGGTGAAATGCTATCAATGAATCTCTTCATTTAAAAACGTCAGTTAATGGAAATAAACTTTCTACACGTGACTTTTGTGACGTTTTAATTGTATATTACACAATAATCTTGTTATATATTGTGCAAGTATAGAAAACAAGGCATTTGTGGAGTACGGTATAGAATTTTGGACGGGTGCAGCTTTGAACGAGGTGGTCTGAGCCGTAGATTGTTCCCATAGAAGTAGAAAGGTCGAAGGAACAGATAACGCTACGTGTGACCCTTCGCTGGATGTAACTTCCCGAAATCTGCCTGTCGGATCTGAAAAAATCCGGAACTATTTCTCGAAACGTTGCTAAAAATCCACCCTTTTCTGTTTTACTGGAGACAAATGAAAGCTTGTAAAGCGGGAGAAATGCTGTCGTTCGATCACTTTTGGGGCAAGGTTGGAGTCGCGCCATTATGCCTATTTTGTGTTTTAATGGGTTGATTTTCGGAGTTTTATCCCATAAAGGGGAATGCGCAAACCGTCGCTTTGTTTTGGTCTTTTTTACTCCTACGGTGTACGGCGTTCATTAGGTCTCGATCGCCTCGTTCCAAGCTAAACTTTTACCAAATTCTGGACAAAATTTTACAATCGCCGGCACCTGCAATAATTTTAAGATGCTGACACTAGTGTGAATAAAAATTTGAAACAAATTGTAGATACAAAATGACTTTCCATGAATTCATTTATTCCAAAATTTTCTTGTTAGACCATTGTAGCCAAAAAATAAAATCTGTGGATCTGTTTGGAAATATTTATTGGTTTGGCCACGGACTCTGGGCGTCGTTCGAAAGTGTTACCAAAGTTTCTGGTAATTTACTGGTTGCTACCAGGACTCGTAGATATTTGAAGGTGGAATAGAGAATGACAAATTAAATACGAATAAAGTCATTTGTAGATACCAACCGGCTGATCAGTAAGCATTTTCAAACAGACTCCATATCTCACAGGTTATGTCTATATTTATGACTTTTTTATAGACATTCTATGAGTAAAACATTGCTGGTTTCATTTATTGTTGAAATTGTATTGGCTGTATATCAATAAATAAACCCATTTGTTTTATCATTTATTTTCGTGATTTTCTTTTAAATAAAAACTCTGTGTTGCAGTACATCTTAACTTGTACATAAGTATTTTTAGTCACATTTGTAAAGAGGAAAATATTGAATTTTAAACAGTATTTAAGTATACTTATTTGGTTTTATTCAAATTTTTATAGGTTTCTTTGTCAGGTCGAAGCTACATGTCAAGAAAAGTCACTCATTGAACTATGCTCTGTTCTTTGCTTGTATAGGGATATCTTACAATTCTAGTAGAATGTCTATAGTCTTTGGCATATGTTATATACAGTATATTGTTATCATAAAATGTGATTTTAAATTACCAAATTTCCAAAATAATTTAATAAATAAAAAATGTTAACATTGTTTTAATGAAAGTTCAACAAATAAACATGAAATTCTGACATTTTTGAATACCTTTACAGTCGACTTTACCTTTATATGAATTCCATGTTGTACGAGTCACTTAGATTTTACAGATACGTCTGCCGGGCTGTGAACAGCTCACGTATCTGTAAAATTCAAGTGACTCGTACAACATGGAATTCATATAAAATGGAAAAATCAACAGTGTTATAGGGGGGTCGACTGTACTTGTTTTTGACAGTTTAAACTATTCTGAATGTAGCACTAATGAATGGTTTTTAAAGATACTGTTTTCAAGCACACGTCTGTGTAATATAGCTATATTTTCTTTTCCCATCATCAAGAATTGTTTTAGAAAGACTTTTGGTTTGAATATTTTCATGTTCTTACAACAGCAGTTGTTGTTCATCTGAAAACGGGAGAACATCCCAAAAATATTTATAATATTTTCATATGTCTTGGTTAAGCAAATCCAATTTTCCAATATAGAAAATGTAACAATTAACAAAACTAAACAACTAAACATGATGTATCAGATCAGGAGTGGTGAACCTTTTTGAGCCCACATGTCAAAGTTTTAGACTTCCAAAGCTGTGGAGTTATGTAAAAATCTACCAACTTTGCCTTACCATCTGACTCTGACCAGGGGCAAACTTGTTAACAAAATAGGCCCAGGAATTCTTCACGTGATCTCAGAATAAAAGCTTTGATAAATAGAGTTCTAATAAAGATAGAATGGTAGAAATGGTAATATAGGTAGAAACTTTTTTTATTCCAAAGCTAAATGACTTCTCTAAGTAATGTTGTTTGTTAAGTTATGGTAATGCAACACTTGGGTGATCTGCCTAGGGGGATGCCTTCCGAGAGGTCTTTTTAAGGGAAACTGGCCCTATTCAGGCATTACAGACATGGAGAAAACTCCACGTAGCCAGCCCGTCCAAGCGAGGCGCAAACGTATGACTGAACTCCCAGTGTTCAGGGTACGAAGATCGCTCGGCCATTGGTGGGCCTAAGTAATGACATAGTCAATATATAAATATGTAATTGATAATTTTTAGTTTCTCAGCTGTTATATATAACAGAGAAAGTGTAGTGATCAGTCAAAAAATGACTTCCTCCAAATTTATATATTTTCGGACTTTGGACTCCTTGAAATGTCCCGATATGCTAAAGATTTGGGGTTTTTTCCTCTATATGTACAGATGTTACTGTTTGGGGGGCACAATTTTATTCACCCTGTTTGAAGCTTAATAACTTCTGCAGTTTATGAGTCAGCTGGTTTAACTAGGGAGTTATTAAGCTTCAAAGTGGTTAAACTAAATTGTGCCCCCACCCACATTCTAACATCCGTGCACACAGAAAAAAAAACCTGCATGTTTTTGCACTTTTCTATGTTTCGAGGCTTTTCTAGTCCAAAAGAGTAAAAATCTAGGAAAATCATTTTTTGACTGATTATCATTCTTTTCCTTTGTAGGCCTATACTGTATAATAGCCGGAAAAGTAATAATGACAATGATTCTGATTACTTTTTAAAAAATACAAAATAAAACTATCATAAAAAAATTTATTAAACAATAAAATTTGACACATCTATTTAATATATAAATTCATATTTATTGACTTGTTTGATGATGGCAATGGTATTTGATAAGCATATATAAATAAAAACAGTAAATACATCTGTAGTCAAACAAATTAGTTTAATAAAAATGTTGAACCTAATATACAAGTATATGAGGTAACATATAAGTATGCACATACATTAAACTGAGTCAAGAATAAGAAATATAACATTTAGACTGGTAAAGAAAAAGGTGTTTATTTTGCCATGTTGATTAATTTATTATCTTTCATCTCTGTTATAAACTGAATTATTTCTTCAAAAAAGAATCGCTTATATTAAGTCAGCATTTACAGACGCTCTTAAATCGGATTTAATAATTTTAAGAGTGGAAAATAACCTTGGGTTGGTGGCAATGCTGTATCTTGGATAATGTCTGGATAGTTTAGTATTGCCATTCTGAGATATTATTTAATATCCCAGAACAGAGAATAAAGAAATTAAATGACATGCCAACGCACCCACACAAACACGAATTTTCTTCCTTTACTTGACATTTTTTGTGTTCAGGGTTCTCCAAACACATAGATTTGCAAAAAACTTGGAGGGTCAAATTTGACAAGATTCCAACACTTTTCCATTTCATATACATAACAAGATGGAAAGAAAGTAAAAAAAGGAGTTGGAGTTGGAGGATTTTTGACAACTCTGATCCTGACTAAAACACCAAAACTCCAACTTCACAGCCCTCTAGACTTCAAACAAATATTTGAATAAATTAAATGAATATGCTTTAATTAGAATAAATGTAAAAAAGCTGATTGAAAAGAAGGATGATTGGGTGATAAACCGAAATGATGATTGAAAAAGACAAATGATAAATAGAAATTGCATGATATGTTATGCGCCACATTGGGCATGTTTGTCAGAGGTTCATCACCCCAATCCTAGATTATTGTCTATCATGGGTGACCAACAGTTTTTTCCCCCAGGCCAAATTGAAAAGAGAACTTTTTCCATGGGCCAAACCAGAGGCTGCCCTAGGAAGATTTTGAGGTGGTGCGAGATCTCATTGTGGTGTCACCCCGTAGAGACTAGATTGTATGTAGAGATTACAGATACATTTTTCACATTATCATGCTTTATCGACATTCTACGCTGTACTTACAAGATTTGTAATGGGGGATTAACTCTAAACGCACAGTGAGTTGTCAGAATTTTTCATCGAGCTATTCAGACTTGAGTAGCTAATATTGAAAGATTGATCGCGGGCCACATAAATTCATTCGACGGGCCGTATGTTAGCCATGCCTGGTCTATCATCTGTTTATTTTATGTAAATTGTTTTCATTAAAATGTTACTTTGTTTTACTTATATGTGTAAATTTAAATTTTTTTTATGACCTTAATTTATCTTATTCTTTTTGGGATGATATATTTGAATGTTCAATGAATATAATTTGTTTTCTGTTTATAATTGTACATGGATGTAACTCAAGACAGCTTGTATTAAGTAAGGACTAAGGCTGAGATAATTTACAATATTTAAACTTATTCATCCTGGCAATTTTTAAGGCTGAGATGGTTAAGGTGTCAATCTATCACTTTGTAGATGTGGAATCAAATCAAAACAGGCAGTGCCCAGAAATTTTCAGAGGCTTTATCCCTCACTATCCAGCATCTTCCATTGGCAACTCAAAATGGGTTTGGAGAAAAAGACTTTCTTAGTGCCCATGAGACAGAGTTAAAAATAAAAAACAAAAAGTAAAAATGGTAATTAAAGTAATTTGCATTCAATTAGAAGTTTAATTTTCTTCAAAAGTATATAAAAATATAGTTTACAATCAGGATGTTAATTAACTATGTTATTTTATTAAGGATTAAGCAATTAAGAATGGCAATTATTTTAACTATAACAAGAAAGCTGCTTATTAAATTCTACATTAGCTAAATGTGCTTATACAATCCAACAGTTCAGTTTCATTTGGCACAGTTTTATCAGGCACATTGATTTCTTTTTTATTTAAACATATTAAATTTTTATTTTCATTCTTATTGGTAGAATTTAAAGAAATCCTGGCATCCGTCTACATTAAGAAATATTGAAAGAGTGTGGAAAGCAGAACAGAAACATGAAGCCGAACAAAAGAAAATTGAACAACTGCAGAGGGAACTGGCAGAAGAGAGGGCAAAAGAAGAAATGCAGCATTATGCGGAAGAGAAAGGAGCGGTCCAGTAAGCAAATTCTTTAAAGTTAGTAAATGTAATAATTAAACAGTTCTTGAATTAAATGCTTTGTCTATTTTTTTAGAAAACGAGAAGAAAAGTTAGACTGGATGTACCAAGGTCCAGCAGCTTTAGTTGATAGAGAACAGTATCTCACTGGACGTCAGATTGACAAAACTTTTGAAATTCTTCAACATCAAGAACAAGATGACATTCCTTCTGACAATGGTGAGCATTAAAATTTTAATATATCTTATTATGGAAAGCTTAGAAATATGTTGCTATAAATATAGTGTAGCAAGTAAGCAGAGTTTTGTTTCTCTGTAGGATTATAATGAATGAAAGTAGATACTTTTGTTAAGTACATACTGAACTATTTAATAATATTGCATTTAAATACAGTTAATATAAATTAAAATGCACAGTTTGTTTGATTCTGAACTAAAAAAAAAAGAATAATAAGATCAATCTATATATATAGACACATGACAAAATGTTTTGCACATCATAACTGTGGAAGACAACGAAAAGATGCTGTAAAATGACATTGTGTTTTGAAATAAGGATTTCATGTAATGACAATTAACAGACTTTATTGCTAGAAAACTAATTCTTCTAGCGTGAAAGGAAAATGGGACATTCAGACCAATCTATTCCTAACTGCTGATAGTATTATCTCAATACTTTGTCACACTATCCTTGATAATTCTCAATGCTGAAACTTTTTGTGGCATGCTTTCAAACAGTTCATTTAGGTGGTGCTAGTCTATCCTCTCTCATTCAGCAATAGCAACCTCCTGGAGTTTAGAAGTTTATGGGGTGGAGATGTGTGGCATGTTAAGATTCCTTTCAGTCCTAGGCATGATTGATGGAATTCATGTTGGAGATTTCATGGGCCACTCAATTTGTTTGAACCCAACCTCCCGCAAGTATGCATTCATAAGGTGCCTGCAATAACAATGAGCATTAACATCCCAAAAGATGAAACATGCTCCATATTATTGGTGACATGGCTTTACAAACTGGTTCAGGATATTGCCCTGATAATGTCTGCTAGTCATTGTGCCTTGTCCAGGAAGAAGCGAAATCCTGTCACCATAAATGTTTCCTGTCTAGAAAATCATTGAATCACCACCCATCTGGGTATGAGGATATAGAGTGTCAAAGACAATACCACATCTAGACTGTCACTACACACATTATCTGCTGTCAAAGTGTCAGACAAATTCATACTTCTTCAGTAAAGAGCACATTGTGGGCTGAATTAAAACTAATTTAATAATTAGGAATAAATTAATACTTCTTGAATTTAAGTTTAGAACATTCATTTATTTTTCAGAATCATGCATTGGTTCGATCTTCGCCCGTACTTCCTCAAACGCACCCGTAGACATAGCCAACAAGATTCGAGAAGATCCTCTCTTTCTTATCAGGTAAGGTCATAAGCTTCTTTTGCAATTGCCATTTGCAATGCGAAACACAGACAAATATGGTTTCACATTGCAATCACAAGTTTTTCACTTTAGTAATTGCTTCATACTCATGAAAATTGCATAGATTGATTTCCACTCTAGTTTAAGGGCAGATTTTGCACTTCGAGCCATGCTTGAAATCTACCAGATCCATAAACATTCCAACAGCCAATTGGAGGGCAATAAAAGTGCAAAGCATTCTAGGTAAAATGGGTTTCAATAAGAAATGTGGATTTACTATCAATTTCAAGTAATCTCTTACTGTGTATTTTAACCAATAGGAGTACTTAATTTGCTAATTGATGGCAAAAATGTGGAAAATACAACCCTGATATATCATGCAGACATTCTGTCAAAATATTGTTTTGAATTACATTGATTCCACTTTCTCAACAATTGTGAAACAAGCTTTATAAAATGTCTCCAGAAAACTTATTTTGTTGTCAGTTCTTGAATTTGCTTTTAAATTAAACTTATAAAAGTAGTTATTTTCATTTATTTAGAAAACAGTACATTTTTATGTGTTATTTACCAGTATATATACAGTGGTACCTCATACTTTGAATGCTAAATTTGAGAGAAATTTGATCTGTACTTCAAACTGTGTGCGCAGTAGAAAAATGTTCTTGCTATGTAAACACCTAATTTTGTGTGCCCAAGTCATCTCTTGCTCTCACTATGAAAGAATTTCTTGTGTTATGAACATGTTTTTGGTGCTTTTTCCATTTCAATTTTGGTGTTTGGTCACATCATTTACTGAAAATTAGCTAAATTTAATTTCAGTAAACAAATCATCATAATACATAATTTGTAAAATATAAATCATAATTCTTAGTTAAAGATTAATTTTGTATTTATAAATTTTCATTATAACTATTATCAAGAATTTCATTTGTTATGAACAATATCTTTCTCAGTATAACAAAAGAAAATTATGAGCTAATTATGCATTTAAGTCTTTCCCTTATTGTAAAATTTTACTTCTCAAAATCTGTAAAAGTTAACAGTATTAAGTTCATGCCAAAATTTCATCGAAAATGCATCACTTAGTAGTGAGTCTCCAAGACAGTGTATTGTCCCAAATACGGTTTTGCCGCTTTACTTGTTCTTCTTTTTAGGATGAACAATAACAAGTAGTTTGGACCTAGATACATTAGAACATTTTGTAGCACCCCTACCTAACAAGTTAACCCATTGAAAAAACTTTATATCTTTCATACTTTTGGTAAAATCTGTTCGTAATATCTGTAATAGTCATTGCATAATAAAATTTTATAACAAGAAAAAGACTATTCCAACCTGTACAGTAAACTGGCCAGAAAACTTATTAAATTATCAGTTCTTCTTTAGTTTATATATAAATTTACCTAAAATAAAAAAATTGTGAGAAAATTAATTGATACGTTTCATATATAATATTGTGTAGTGATGATACGTTAACTTTGTGTAATTTTAATTAAATGTTTATATATACAAAGTTGCATGGTATCGCTATTCTGACTGACTGACTTTGAAATGTTTGAATGGAAATAGACTTTTATAGAAATAAAGAAATGATACAATAAAAGGAGAATGTTAAGTACATTAGCAAACTGTCCAAAATCTAAAAAGTAAAATGTTTTGAGCTTTGAAGCATCAAATTTTAACTCTGAATGTTTATAGAATATAAGTCAATTTTAAACACTATCTGCTTATTTTCAAAGATGTTCAGTATCATTAATTTTTTATTCATTATTTTGTTTTACTTTGGATTATTTTTTTATGTAAATCTTTTGATAAATGGATTTATAAATTATAAATACCTTTGGAGATATTCAAAAAATTGCTCAAAATGTCAGGATTGTATGACCAAGATTATTAGAAGAGTTCTTGTGATCATTTAAAATGCATCTCATCTCTTCTGTGACAATTCTTCTTACACTGATATACATAAATTTCATAGTAAAAAATAGTTTATTTTATAAAGATAATTCAATAAAAAATTTTTTTGTATTTTGTTTGTGCTTGTGACAAATTAACTGTTTTCTCTTTTTAGGAAACAAGAGGAAGAAAAACAAAAGAAATTACTGAATAATCCAGTGAAGTTAAAACAATTACAAGAAATGGTAAATTATTTTCTTCTTAGATTAAATAACTCATTTTAACCCAAAATACTGTTAGATTGGAGCACATGAGTTAACTAGTAACTATAAGGAACTTACCCATTATCAACCGGAAACTCCAACAGAAATCTACAAAATTATTTGAAGCCACACATTTGTGTCATAAAATTAAACTAAATCTGACTTGGTGATACAAGTGTGTATGCGTCAAATAACTTTCTAGGGAAATTCTGTTCAAGCTTTTTCCCAATAATGAGTGTAGTTGCCCAAAAGTGCTAGAGAAAGAGTAGTTGTTTGTTAGCTGCAATAAACATAATTTTTGCTTAAATTATGATATGCAATAAAAATGTTATTTTGATCTTTGAATTTCTTTAACAAAAGCTTAAGTAAAATTAATTATTAATAGCATTATCACAATTGATATGAATTGACACATTAAATTTTCCACTTACAAATTAATTAGTGCTTATTCCTAGTTACAGAGTTTCTTTCTTTTGCATTTCTTGTAGAATTTGATAAATTTCTTTGGATTTGAATTTGACATTTAAGTTTAATTATACCATTTAGAGGAGTACAAGTGTTGCAGTTGATTTAGTTAATAGCTTTTAAAATGTCATTAACACACTTCATCACCATATAGAATGAATCACAATGATAATTTATATACATAGAGAAAGTTTTAGCAAAAGTACTATTGTATTTAATGATTTTCATGGTAATTTTGTTTGGAAACGTAACAATTCCAATTGAATGCAATTTTATCCATATATATAATAAAATCAATGCTCAAATTAATTGCTGCATGTAAGCCTGAACTAATAGATTATTTTACTATATTAAGGCTAAATTAATAGTTAATTATCAGAATTTGATTTAAAGACAAGTGTTTTGCCATTAAATTGTTGAATATTCATGATTGTTCTTTTTTCAGAACTATTTAAAATAAATTTAAAATTCATTCTGACTTTTACATACTGTTTAATGTCATTATAATAATTTTTCTCACAAATACCATGTAATTGTTTATTGTCATTCATTGTTTAATATTTTCAAATGCAAATTTACTTATTTTTTAGAATTATGTTTATTTAATACTAAAATACTGCTGTTAAGTACTTTCAGCTAAATGCAGAATTTTCTGAAAAAAATGCTAGTATTTTANAAACAGAGATCGAAGACATTAGATCATGTTGAGAAATTGCTTTTGCTTTGGATAACTGAAAAACAGTGTGCTGGCGACAGCGTATCAGAAGCAATTATTTGCGAGAAAGCTAAAAAGATACATTGTTTATTGTCATTCATTGTTTAATATTTTCAAATGCAAATTTACTTATTTTTTAGAATTATGTTTATTTAATACTAAAATACTGCTGTTAAGTACTTTCAGCTAAATGCAGAATTTTCTGAAAAAAATGCTAGTATTTTAAATTTCTGTATTACTGTACTGTACTAAATTACTGTAATTTCATTAATTATTAGCTGAGAAGTATGTGATGTATGCCAATTGATACTGTGATATCCAATTTTTGTCTCTGATTTGCATTTGAACATCTTATCCTCTGCTATCTGTAAAAGTACCAGCAACTCCAGAAGGGAGAAAGCATTTTGCAGTCTGCAAAATCAGAATAATTCATTATTGTGCAATACAAGTAATCTGCAGGAGTCATAGAATTATGGCTGACATAAGAGGAGTGACAACATATAGCCATAGTGAGCATAGGAGGAATTTGAGTATCGGTTAGATCAGTGTTTCTCAACCTCTAATGAATCATCGCCCCCCTTCAAAGTAGTATCACCCCTTCACTTCAAAATTCCGATGCCAAGGCTAATGCCAAATTTATACTGCCTTGAATAGACTAGTGACTAGTATAATGTTATTTGTTTAATTATTGTTTGATATAATGAATAAAATATCTAATTATTCTTAATATAATGTTTTACTATATTGCTCAGAAAATTGTTTTTTGCACCCCGAAAATATAAATTGTTACAAATCGCCTCCTGGAACATGGAAAAATGCCCACATGGGGGTGATATCGCCCCCATTGAGTAACACTTGGTTAGATGAATGCCAAGCGACATGAGGTGTCCATATAGAGAACTGTAATGGGCAAATGCGAAATTTGGACAGTTTTGCAGTGTTTTAATGTGTGTTATGACATTCTTGGATAATAATTAACATAATTATAATAATTTAAAATAGTAGCATTCTTTTTGGAAGAACTTAATAAGATTTCCATTCTCTTTATCTAGTCTGACAGTTAGTCATTCTAACATTTTAATATCATTTAGTTGACAAATACAAACATATAAACAATATTTCTTAAATTATGTATAAAAATGAGCTAGAAAATTTTCAAATATTACTTTTTGAAATCTTTCTTTTTAATTACTTCCAAAAATTATATTAAAGGAGATATCTGATAACTGCATAGAATATGTTTTGGGGTAGTGTGCTCAGTTAACTATTTAAATATTTTATCAGTAATTGTAGTATTTACACTCATCAATATTTAATAGAGGAAGAAGCTGATATTTTGTAATGATATAATTTTCAATTTTTATGTTAAAACAGTTAAGAAATTCATTATCTGAAGATAAATTAAAAAAGAAACACAAGAAAAAAATTGATAAGAAACTCAAAAAGAAAAAATCTCACAAAAAGTCTCACAAGCACTCGAAAGACGAAAAAACATCATCGAAAAGGAAGGACGTAAGACGATACGGATCTTCTGAGAGCGACTCTGGATCTGACTCTGACGTGAAACCCCAGTACAAATACAGACGTACAGTAAGTCTAGGTTATTTAGTATTCCTCATCCATTTCTCAAGCAGAAATTAATCTTTTGGTTACACTTTTAGGAAAAATATAATCGTAGGGAACCATCGAGGAGTAGAGACAATTATTACAAGAGAGAAAGTGATGAACCTTCCAAAAAGAAGTAAGTCTTTCAGTTTCCTTTATTATTTGCACTTAAATAGTATAAAAGAAATGCAGTGTTGTTGCATTAAATTTTAATATAAGGATAACTCTGATACAATATTGTTGGCAATTACAAAAGTTTTCAAATTAAATGTGTAATTATTTTTTGTATATGTAACATTGATTGCAATATTATATACCCATAGTTATGGTGAAATTATCATCATTTTCCCTTCTTTATTAAATAATTAGTCTGCATTGTTTCAATAATATAAAATGGTCATTTTCTGGTCAAATGTACTACTCACACTTGTATATACTAAGGATTCATAAAAATTTGATTTGTTAACTTCTTCAAAATCCTTGGCACATAATGCACAAATACAAAAATTTATTTTGATTCATTCCACTTGCATTCTACATTTATTTATTTCTTTACAATTTGTTTTCAATTTCATATCTCTTTATTTGTGAATACTTTAATTATTTTGCTGGGTGTGTGTTGTCTTTATTTAAAAACAAATACAGTTAAACCTCAGTTTTTGAACATAATTTGTTCCTAAAGATGTTCGAAAACTGATTTGTTCTAAAACCAAAACAAATTTTCTCGTAAGAAAATACAAAATGAATTAATCTGTTCCCGAACCCCCAAAACAAAACCTTTCTGTTTTACTTTTTTAACTGTATTTCATGCACAAAAATGCTTATAAATGCAATATATTATTATTATTGATAAATTTTTGTTTTTTTAATTTAATTTAAGCATATTTAAATACAAATTCTTGGATATCATTTATATTACACAAATGTTAATTAACACAGTTTTATAATTAATTTGATTATGATTCAACTGTGGCATGTATCGAAAAATAGAAATACAGTGGTACCTCAGTATATGTCTGCTTTAGAATACGTCCAATTCGGAATACATCCTGTTTGGACTAAAATTTTGCTCGGTATATGACTTAATTCAATTATACACGCCATCTATGAACAAGTACCACTATTGGTGTACTAGACCAGACTAGACGTTCGCGGTGTCACAATTTAGAACTTTGTTAAATTTCTTCTAATTTTAATTTGTAAGAAAAATTTTATTATTTTTATTAATTATGAATTGCAAAAAGGCAAATGAAAAGCAACAGAAAATTAAAAAAAAATGACTAGAATCACAATGGAACAGAAAAAAGAGATTATTGAGAAATATGAAGATGGCATGCGTGTTCGAGATTTTAACTGTTGCATACCGTATTCCAAGAACGACGATATCAACAATCGTGAAAAATAAAGACATTATAAATCTGCTAACGTTGCAAAAGGGGTTAAATCAATTTCTAAACAGAGATTGAAGACATTAGATCATGTTGAGAAATTGCTTTTGCTTTGGATAACTGAAAAGCAATGTGCTGGAAACAGCATATCAGAAGCAATTATTTGCAAGAAAGCTAAAAAGATACATGCTGATCTCATGAAAAATCAAGCAGGAACTAGCCAGGAAAGTGAGGTGTTTAAAGCCAGCCATTTTTTTTTTTACATGAGAATGGATTAATCATTTTTAAATTACTTCTTGTGGGAAAGGTTGGTTTGGTATATGTCCAATTCAGTATAAGTCCAAACATCAGAAATGGATTAAGGTTGTATACTGAGGTTCCACTGTAGTACCTTTCATACATGTGCATCAAAATCAAATTTAAATAGCAGTGTCATTGATGATTTGTGTTGTGATGTCTAATGATGCAAGGTGATCTTGGCACCACTAACTTCTGAATTGGTAGTCCTGTCGTCAATTGGTCAGACCATTGATTTTCTTTAACATAGGAAGTATAGGGAGTTGACTATCTGTGACTGGGTCTTGCTGAATTTGGTTTGGTAACCAAGTTATTGTAAAGCAACCAATGCAATTATGAGTTTCAAATTCACTTCATGAACCAAATTGTTCAGAGTGAGGTGTTTGAAAATTGAGGTTTGACTTTAGATACTTTTATGCAATACACTTACAAAAAAACAATTTCATATAAACTCTAAAGGAAAATACTAAAAACAAAATTATTATTATTTTTAAGTNTATGATAAGCTTGGCGAATTAATTTCAGATTTTTGAACCAATAGAGATGCCGAAATAATTTATGAATAGGTTGAAAATTTATGTTAGAGAATATTACGAAATATTCGTTATTGAATTTTAATAACTTTACTACTGAGTTTAGGTTATTTGTTATAATAATATTTAAATACAGTATTATTGTAATTTAAGAAATACATCTTAATTAGTTTTATTTATAAAAACGAAGTATAGTATCTGTTTCTCTAATTTCTTTTTTTTTATTTTAAACATTAAACACCAGGATCAATATTTAATGATTTTTTATATGTTTTCATAAATATAATGTCCATCAATTTAATTACCCTACTATATTAATGCACGAAAAATGCGGATGGGTCCTAAATGGAAAAAACATAAAATAAAAATCTAAAATCAAATGAAATAAAATATTATTAAATATTTTCAAAATAGTTTATGGATTAGTTTGGCCTAAATCCATAATTCAAAAATAAAAGTAATAAAATCAATTAAAATTTCATGTATTCTGAAATTCTCCTATTAACCTATCACCTACCAATAATCATTCAAATTGAATTTTTAAATATTAAGGAAGCCAGGACGACCTTTCCGTGAGATAGAAGTTAATTATATATTTTATTTATTTTGTTTTGAAAATTATGAAACAAAATAAGGAATATAACAATTTTCCTTTATATTGTTTACAAATTTAGCATCCATAACATAAACTTTTATTTAGAGAAAGTAATCTTCAACTTTAAACTTTGTATTTTCATTGTAGGCCTACATAAATAAGTTTTTAAAGCCATCTCTTGTTTCAAGTGACTCTCAGGATCAAAAATGATCGCCTACGCTAGCTCTTTTTTAGCATTGTTTAGATAATTTCTTTTAAAAAAATACATATATCTAGAATAATTTTAACGTAAATCTTGAACAAATTATTAAAGAAAGAGCAAACATAAAAGAATTTTTGATGCATAGCGACATCTAGTATCAAAAACTTTCCGACGTAGACATGAAAATATTCGGGATTGCCCACGCAGGTCAATGAGGTCAACACGAATATTTTCGGGAACAACGTAGGACAGATTAAACCATGTGACCACCAACTGCCAATTAGATACTGTTCTTTTTATATTAAAAATATAATATTCCATTTCTCATTCTGTTTCCAAATCCATTCTCTAAACTGAGAATGATTGCGCAAGGCGATTAAAAGTGTTCATTTTTCTTTAACTTTTTTCATTTACAAGCTGGATTTTTGGTTTTGTAAGTGATATTTACACAATTAAATTGACAAATTAATTCCCTGTTTCATTCTGTAGGTTTTTGTCAACTGTACCCCCTAAGGCAATGCTTTTTAAATCTATTTAATTTGCTTCTGTCTTATAATTAAACTTGATAACAGTAAATTTGTTATACAATTTCATACTTTTTGAAAAAGAATTTTTTCATTAGGATTTAACATTATATAATCTCTCTTTTTACACTGCTGACTGAAATAGTTATAATTCTCATTTATCCAGAATAATTTCCATAGAATATTAATTTTTAAAAATATAGAAGAAACTTTTCCAATTCAATCATGTTCAAACACCAGGAATAAAACAGTCTTTCTTTACAGAGACAACCTTTTATTAGAGACTGACTGTCTTTTTAATTGAAATTAACTATTTCAGACAGCTACAAAATAATTAATATATTTTAATATGTAATAATGAAAATTAATTTATAGGAACATTTTTGAATAAATTATCAAAACATTAATTAGATCTCAATTAACATTTTTCAAAGAAACAGTTATGTTTGATTAATGAGAAGCAGTATTACTTTGAATAATTATTGCTCAAGTTGCAAAATGGCTCTTCTAGTGTTTTTGTAAATCATTCTACATCTTTGTAATTATACAAATCTTGGTGGAATTTAATATGTATCATGTTAGAGACAATCCCAGAAAGAATTTCTTGAAATTTTTAAGATGTTCAATTCACTGTATATGTATAAAATATGCAGCATAAAATTATCATATAAAACCAAAATAGAAATAGTGACACCTGGAATCAATAAATTATTGCAAAATTTTTGAACAGGTGAGTGAAGTAGGGTTAGTCTGACAGTGAGTGAAACAAGCAAGAATAGAGGATTGGGCCAAGGACTGAAGTGAGTGGTGGGTGAGAAAATATCTTCTTTGAACCACCTAGTGGGAGGTTGAGTGATGGGAACAAAGAGAGTGGGTGTTAGCTCCTTGTGAAGGGTTCAATTGTCAGAAAATTTTTGTTAAAATAATCTATTGAAAACAAGTGGGGCAAGTAAGCAAAGCAAATCACATAACCACAGAATCAGAACATGTTTCTGCAGGACATTCAAATGAATCATAAGGTTCAACCAATTCAAAACAAAATTTTTTTTGTTCTGCAATTTGAAAGTTGTTCTATGTTCAATTTTCAAGGGGAAAATCTAAAAGGAAAGTTAATTGTGTGATTTCAAACAAAATTCTAATTAATTTGAGTTGGAGATGCATTTCCAAACAGATCTGAACTTAATTTATATTATAGAATCCTTACTCAGAATTAGACTGAAAAAAGTATACATATTATTGGAAGTTTTGTAACAAAATGTTACGAGCATTTAGTCAGTCCATCATAGGCAGCCAAGGACAAATACCCCTATTAATTATATAGATTTATAATCTCTCAGAAAAAAATAGTTTGGAGCAGATCTCAGATCCTTGATGTTCATATTTTTGATAAATACATGATATATAGACCAATAACATAATTTGAATGAAAGCAATTAGCAACCATTACAAGTTTGCTTAATCTAGTTTGTAAAAAATTAAAAAAACTTGATAACTAAATAAATGAAATGATAACAAATTTTATTATATATTTTCTGCAAACTATTAATTTTATTTCAATAAAAGTCAAATTCTTTGAATAGTAACACACTTTTTTAACAATCTTTTATTGAGCATGTCAAGTAAAAAATCACAGACTGACTATATATACAGGAATCAGAGTTGGCATTTTGGGGGATGATTTCTCCACTTTCCAAATGCCTTTAGTAGTATGCAAAAATTGCCAAAAAAAACTATGTTTTCTTCATCTGGCACAGCAGATGCTCCTAGAGAAAAAAATTTTTCAGGTTAGTAAGCTCAAGTTTTAAACTTAAGCCTTTTTCTTTATCAGTTGAGGTGCCATCGACTCAGAAGTTTTCCCTTCTGAGTCAATAGTTCAAAGTTCACGGGGAATTCCTCCGAGCTTTTTCACTTCATTTTATGCTTATAAGAATAAACTGCATTTAAATGAATGATTTTCATTCAAAAGTTGCTAGTATAACAAAAGCTCAAATTTATGCAAATTAAAACTTTTCATAACAGTTTTTCTAAAAAACGGTACGTCTAAAGCATTCGGCCAAAGCTGAACACCTACCAAATTGAACGTCTTATATTTTGATATAATCACACAATCATTAACCAAACAAATATCTCAGATGTAAAAACATTGCACCAAATAAAAAATTATGGCAACTTAGATAGTAGTAAAAATTTTTCTTAGTTTTTCTTTTGTAGAAATAAGTTCAGCACTTGGAAGTGATTTGTAGAAAACAATAATATGGGTAAAAATGTTGTGGGTCTTGTGGTACTGCTTCAAAGCACTAAGCTTATCTTTACCAAAGAAAAATTCCTGAGAAAAAAAATTTTGTTATCTAAGTTATCATAAATTTTTACTTGGTACAATATTTACATGCGAGATATCTTTGTGTAGATCATAGAATTCGTAAATTCAGTTTCTTTTTATGATAGAATAATCTATAGCAGTGTTTCTTAACTTTTTCTTGTTGCAGGCTGGTATAATTATATATAATTGTACATTATATACAATTATGAATTGCACTTATACAGTCCATTTCAAAATTATAAACACACCTAACTTTTTTCAATAACAAAACATTAATAATAGTAATGTATTTATTATATTAGTATGTTGTTTACAACATCAATTTAAACATTTTCTGAAATTTTTACAGCTGTTCTGACAATTACAAAAAACAATTATCCCAGATTTTCAATTTTTTATTGTTTCAAAAGTATAAACACGGGTTAATAAAAGTAGTGATCTTTTTTTTTTTTTATTATTGATTTAATTAGTTGTCGCCAGAATTCATTCATTCATTATTACAAATGTGGCACCAATTTTAAACAGTTTTTTTGTGATTTAAAACAATGCCTTGTGAAAAAACACTAACAGAGTTGGAAATATGTGAAATTTACCAACCAAGATGAGCAAGACAATATCTAAGACAAATTTCGGCAGCTGTAAATTGATCCACATGTGCTGTGAGAAATGCGTGGGGTGAAACTCAGGGTGAAAATTATGGCAGAAATAAGAATTGTATAAGGCCTAAACTCCTTACACTTAGAAACAAAAGAAAGGTTTTTCGGCTACTGATGATCAACAAGTTGTCTATCAGAGAATCAGAAAAGTATCAAGAACTGTTGTATCACTTATTGGGCAAAAAAAAACTGGCAATTCCAACAGGATAATGCTGCCGTTCATGCATTAAAGTCAACTAAAAATTAGTTTGCTAAAATAAAAAATTAATGATTGGCTATCATGGAGCCCTGATATGAATTTGATAGAGAATGTTTGGGGCATTATAAGTCGTCTTGTTGGCCAAAACTGACAATACAACACTAAATGAACTGAAATTAATTTTCATGGATTGCTGGAAAAATATTAAACCACAACAGCTTCAAAAACTAGTAAAATGTATGCCTGATAGAGTATTTGTGATAGAGTATTTGAATTGATTAAATCAAATGTTACCTACAAAATATTGAGACATCACAAATCATTTTTTTATGCATATGTGTTTATACTTTTAAAACAATAAAAAATTGAAAATCTGTGATAATTTTTTTTGTAATTGTCCAATATTTTCTGAAATTTTTAAAGCTGTTTAAATTGATGTTGTAAACAACACACTAATATAATAAAAACATTAACAATAGTAATTTATTTGTTATTGAAAAAAGTTGGGTGTGTTTATAATTTTGAAACGGACTGTATATAATTATCTAGAGTTACTGTAGGTACATATGTTTTTTTTTTTTACAAGGTCACTGCTAGATTACTATTTAAACGTTACTTATAATTAACTGTGCCAACATCAGTATGGTCAACTATTTTCCTGTGGACCAGCTGTTAAAGAACACTGTTATATAGCATTTAATATCGAATCACTGGTATATGCCGGTTTAAGTTAACATAGATTTATTATTTTGGAGACTATTTTAGCATGGTAATTTCTCTGCGTCGTATCTCTGGCTTTGAAAGCAAAATGTGTATGCATTAAAAAAAATGTACTTTATGTAAGTGCAATATTATTGTTATGTTGCACTTTTCAAAATGATTTAAGGCATTAAGCAGTTGTGTCACCTCCAGAAAATACTTTTTAAAAAGTCTGTCTCTGGCCCACAATAGGGTTCCAGATGGTTTGCATGTTACAGTTGCCTAGCAACCCAGTGCAAGAGGGAGTTGCTGTTACAAAGTCACTTAGCCATTTTTTTCGTATATTGATAGAATAAAAATGCTTCTGGCAAAAATTATCAGATATTTTAACATCATCAAGAATAGAATTAAATAATTAAAACTAAAAATGTTGTTTGTAAAATACCATTATAGTAAAATGTGAAAAATGAATCTGCTACAAAATGTAATTGTTTTCTTTTTTATTATTGTAGGCGGATAACCGAAGAAGAAATGGAACGAAAGAGAAGAGAGATGATGGAAGACGCACAGTGGCGACAGCAGCAATTGAAAAAGAACATCCACCATTACAAGGAGGAAGATCTCAAAGAAGACCTGGAAGTGGAAAAAATAAAAGATAAAGATTTCATCAGGTAAGTTTGTCTTTGACCAACAAAACTTCCACTAATCACATACAGTCAAATCTTGATTTTTGAACATAATTCATTCCTAAAAGTTGTTCTAAACAAAAACAAATTTTCCCATAAGAAAGAATATAAAATGTGTTAATCCAATTCTGATCCCAAAACAAAGCCTTTTTATCTATATTTCATTCATAAAAAAGCAATATAATATAATATATTATATTAGTAAATTTTTATCATTTAATTTAACTTGAGCATATTTAAACACACATTCTTGGATGAATGTCAACAAGCGCAGCTTTTATTAATTAATTTGATTTAAATTCAACTGCAGCATGTACCAAAAATGGAAATAGTACAGTCGACCTCCCCTATAACACTGTTGATTATTCCGTTTTACATGAATTCCATGTTGTACGAGTCACTTAGATTTTACAAATACATGAGCCATTCACAGCCCGGCACACGTATTTGTAAAATCTAAGTGACTCGTACAACGTGGAATTCATATAAAACGGAATTATCAACAGTGTTATAGGGGGGTCGACTGTATCTTTTTTGCACATGCATCAAAATCTAATTTAAATAGCAACATCTAATGATGCAAGATCTCAGCATCACTAACTTCCAAATTGGTAGTCCTATCATCAATCGGTCGGGCTGTCCTCTTTCTTTAACAAAGGAAATATAGGGCAATGACAGTCTGTAGCAAACCGTTGCCGAGTAGATCATTCCGAGTTAACTTACAGTAACCGGGGCAATTACCAGTTCAAAATTTTGTTCAAATTGTTAGGAAAGCGAGGTTTGACTTTTAGTGCTGCCAAAACATTGAAATTGGTTAACCAGTTTTTGAAACCACTTTGAATTCAGTAGAATTAAAGTATTATAGTAAATAGCATCAAGATTCACAAATACGCCTGCCAAAAGGAGGTTAGTATTTCGTCGACTCTAGCATTTACAGACGTCAAAAGTATTTAACAAATTAGCATTTGAAATTGTACAAATTGTAAGTTCCGGTGGAATTATCTTAAATTCATGCAAAACTTTACTGCCAACCAAACAGAAAATAACGATTTCATTGTTAGCACCAATATATTCTTCCATAAACCCTAAGTGAATTTTATTATTCTTTAACATAAATTCTTTGGTAGACGATGATAAAATATAACCAAAGACCAAACATAATTTGTCCTATAATTCCTATTGAAAATTGCCCAAAACTCTCATTTCAGACCCATGCTATCCAAAGCCGCCGACACCGGGACCGTAGAGGCCAGAATCAAGCGGAACATCTACAACATCCAACGTAGCAAAAGCTGTATGGATAGTAATTTTGCTCGAAGATAAATAAACGTATTTATTTTTTACGTGTATATATATACTTTCGTTCGGAATGCACGTTTAACGGACGTCAATTTATTCAGAACACATTTATTAAAACAAAAAAGTTGGCCCGTTTATTTAACAAGAATACAAAGGAAATTTAGAAAATGCGCCAATCTTTTTCATTTGGCAGTTGCGTGGGAGTCTGATTCTGTACACGAACCGGAGTTACTTCATTCAAAAGAAAAAAATACACGCCTCGTTTATATCTCTTCGTACGCATCCACTTCCAGGGATACGGATCTGTAAACATAAAAGAATCTTTGTAACCATGGACACCCGAGAAAAAGACACGTTTAAAGCTTTGCAAAATGGCTACCTGGAGAATGCCATGCCAAACTTCTCTTCCAATTCCTGACTGGTCGAAGATTGCTTTTCCGCGTGGAACGCCTCGGAAAATTCGTGAAGTCTGTGAGCCAGGAACACTGCGCTCTCGCGTTTCCTGATCATAAATTCCGTGGGAGACAGCCACTTGTTCTCCAGACATTCGGCCACCGTGGGACGTTTCCTAACCAGGCGGAGATAATGAATGTAAGCGAATTCGATAGATAAAATTGAAAGAAAGGAAGCTACTTACAGAGGACATTTCTTGAAAGTCTGGATGAGGAATCTGGTAGATTCGGCAGTCACTTCTTTGTGCAGACTGTCGAAACAGTAACGGACGAAGGTGACGTTACTCGTCGTCTCATCGTCGTTTTCGCCTCTGAACGGAGAACATCCGCTCAGCCTAAACGGATAAGTCGGGCTTGTTAATTGTTTGACGGCTTTCCCGTTCTTTTATTCCGCAAAATATACTCACAAGATGTATGTTAAAACTCCTACGGCCCATACGTCGGTCGTAGTGTGGACGTCTTCTTGACAGATCACTTCCGGGGCTGAAAGACACCGCATAAATTAGAAATTTCGGCTTTGTAGCGTGTATCGGTAATCCGGCATATACTATTACTTACCCAGGTATTCTAACCTCCCTTTGACATCGATTTTACCTCCGGCTTTGGGCACCTTGCGGGCGGAACCGAAATCTACCAGTTTGATCCTGGGGTACTTCTCGTCGATCATCACCACGTTATCCGGTTGCAATTCGACGTAGCAGATACCCCTGAAGTGCAGGTATTCCAGGGCGTTCAATACCTAAAGACGTCGAAACGCACGGGGATAAAGATTCACTTACGTAATCAATTTCTCGCCTGCTTATATCCTATTACCTGTATCATTATCTTGGCAACCGTGTCCTCGTTATATTCCGTGTGTTTGGACAAATAACTCAGCACGTCCATGCCCGAGAGTTTCTCCATCACCAGTATCGTCACGTTGTCCTTGTAACTGGCTGACATCAACTCCACGATGTTCTTGTGCCTCAAGGAACTGTGAATTTCGTATTCTTTTCTTCCCGCCTTCTCGTTACCCTCAGTGTCCACGATGATCTTTGTAATTAGAGTCGTCTGCAGATCCTTGACCCAAGACTTTACCATGATGGAAAACTTCCCCCTGAGAAGTATATAAATTAGCTTTTGGTTTGTGCAAAATGTATTTTTTCAGACACGACGTGTAACAGAAGTAATGTTAAATGCCATTGACGAGTGGAACGTAATGAATCGTCTGCATTGTCTCAGCCACAATGCAATGTTAACATTTAGACAGTTCGGAATTGAAAACTTACTTTGCTATATAAATTTTGTCATTGGAGCAATAACACACGCGATTTGTGGTATCACAATTGTTTAGACTCAACAGATCCAACACAGTGTAAGTATTGTTTTCTTCTTCAGATACGCATGCAATCTATACACTAGAACTGCTTAGTTATTAACACTATCCAGATTATATATAGAATACGTGTGGCAAACACAAGGACTTACCTCGTTATCTCGGACACAAAGTTGTAGAGATCTGAAGGATTTCCCTCCACGATGGGGATGGGATTCTTTTCTATATTATAATCGATCTCCGTCTCTTCCACTTCCTCTTCCTCTATTTCCTCGTTCTGTTCCGTTCTCTCTTGCTGGTATTTACGCGCTTTGGTTATCCTAATCTTCGGAGCACCTGCAGAATGCGCCATTTTGTTTAATTAGACGAGACACGCCGGCTGACTAAATGAATCGCTAACTACCTTCTGCCATGGTGGTGACATTTTCGGTAGGAATGCTGGGAAATCCCCAACCGAACTTGTTCTTGGCACTCACTCTGAACTGATAAGTGGTGGACGGGCTCAGTTTGTGAACGACGTAAAATTCGTGCGTGACGTTGTTGGCCACTTTGGTCCATTCCGCTTCGCCTGATTGTTAAATTTTAACGTTTAGACGAACACCGGGAAAGAAAAATATAATGCGTACTCACCCTTTTTGTGATATTCTACGCAGTAACACAGGATGGTAGTGTTTCCGGTGTATTTGGGCGTTCTCCAGGTAATATACACGGCGTTATCCGAATATTGGTCTACTTCGGGCGTATCCGGTCTGTCCGGGACACCTAATTAACAGAAGAATAATTGTAAATTCGTCGAACGTCAGGGTTACGCGTTTCCGAACGGACACACGTACTTCCTAATTTCATTCGGGCTCTACAGGTGGATTCTCCGTGAAGATTCCTGGCTACGCATTTGTAGACTCCTACGTCGTATCCTTTGCCCGGGCTCAGTCTTAGTTCGCATTTTCCGTCCTTCGACTGTTTTATCTACAATAAAGGTATTGTAAACACGTGAGTTTTATATATTTAATTTGTCAAACCGCGCCAAACACGTAAATATTCTCTTACACTTCGCATCTATCCATAAAAAACAAAGTAGAGGTCTTCCGTGAAATACCTGTACTTTGCTCTCCGTGGACGGATTCGATTTGTAAGGGAACAGAGGCTATTGTCTATAGTGTCATTGTGATTAACGCCTTGTTGGCGGCATTGAAATCTTCCGGATCGATTTCAAATAAAGTGTTAACAATACCTGAATTCTGCTACTCTCGATCAAAATGCCGTCGTTCCTGAACCAAGAACAGTCGGGCTGGGGATCGCCCACGGCGTAACACGTAAACACCGCGTCTTGGCCTTCTTCGATGACCACATCTCGCATTTTCTCTCTAAAATACGGCGCGTATCCTAAAAAGAGCAGAAAATAAATTCCCCTCATCTTTAGGTGTTTCCTATTCGAAACAAAGAAGAAAATTACCTATTTCTACTTCCCGACTCCCTTTATCCTTCCAAACTTCCTTCTTTAACATCTCCATTTGTTCTCTAGCGTAACCGGTGGTGCCCAGTTCGTGGTGCAGCCTCATAGGAATAGTTCTCGTTCCTCTTCCCGTTCTCTCGTCCGTTATTTCCTCGTCCATTATGTCTACAAATCTACGTCTTTCACGTACCGTTATCTAAACACCAGAATTTGACGATGATTAGACACCAGAACATCGCACCGTCTCCACGTTAGTTACGAACCGGTAATTAATGGAACAAATAGCCAATGGCATGGTGTCGACTGGCTACCACGGAGGATCCGGGTTCGAATCTTTAATCGATTCTATTGTGGTGTGTCGCGAAGAGAACCGACAATTCCGTATGACACAAAAGTCACGAGAATTCGTACCCAGATCCTTCACGATGGCCTCTTTTATAGAATTTGATACAAGGATGAATAACTTACGTTATTGTCACCCCAGTGGGTATCGCCCAAACTGTTAGCCAGACTGGGGCTAAGCGAAGCTCCTATTCTCAAATATTCACGGATTCTTAGTGGAAACTCCGTGTCTCTGTGTTGAAGAAGGTAAGTATCCGGTCCATTCTGGTAACTGGAAAATCGGAATAGTTCTTTTGTTTTAAATTTGCACTTAACAAAAGTCTATTGTTCGGATGTTTATCACTCACTTTGTTTCCGAACGGAAATCCACCGGTTCCCTGCTGATCCTCTGTTTGTAAGTATCGTCGAATTCCGCGGGTTTCACGCGAGTCCTGTCCAGTTCCGGTTCCGGACTGCTGGGCGGAGTGTATTCCTCTCCCGGTGGATAGATCATCTTGCTGGGATGGGTGAAGCAGGACTCAAGAGGGCGTCGACGGTAGAAGCGTTTGCAAGACGCGTTCGAATACTGCAACACGCCACGAGATTTTAATTGTTAGTATGGACAATAGATTATTTCCAAATTTCGCACTCACCCAGTCTTTCCACTTCCTGTGATAATCTTTCAGGCGCTCTAAATTGTTGAGGTGGATGTCTCCGTCGGCGATCCCCTCCCCCTGCGACGAAACTAGGTTTAGTTTAATAATGGAAAACAATACGTGTACAACACAGGAAATTACTTACGGTTAGCCATCTGTGCTGCAGCGCTACTTTGACTTCCATTCGCTCGCTGAATGAAAAAGACAAAGACTTTAGTGTACGAAATTCACGCTCCGGTTTGCTAAATGCAGACACTTACTTGGGATCGAACACCAGAAGTTTCGACATAAAATCTTTAGCGTCGTCAGAAACGCCGGTGAACGCGTCGGGGAAGAAGTTGATCTTCCCCTGTTGGACCTTTTTAAGCGTTTCCATGTCATTTTCTGCCAGAAAGGGCGAAATCCCGCTCAATCTACGTCACAAAAGATAAATCGAGGGAAATTATCAGGTGGAAAAGTGCCGAGCGCCACAGGAACGAGAATACTTACAGTAAATACGTGATAACGCCGACACTCCTGGAAAGAAAAGGAGAGAGTGAATTGAAAATGACGATTCTGGTCGTTGGCAAGAACAGAAATTCGCGTGTTACGTACCACATGTCCGCGGACAACGTCACCGCCTGTTTGTTGGCGATTTCGGGTGCCACGAATTCGGGGTGGCCGTAATCCAAGAAGTATTCCTTCTCCGGGTGCAAATGAGCCGCCAGTCCGAAATCTCCGACTTTGATCAGATCGGAATTCACGTGATTGACTAAAACGTCGCCGATCTACGAGGAAACAATAGAATTGTGGTGTTGCTAGAAACACTTCTGAGGTGTGGCGTGTAAGCCACTTACCGTCAGTCCTAAATGGCCGATGTTCTTGCCGTGCATGTGTTCTAGTCCTTCCAGTATCTGCTTTATGTAATTGGCCACGTCCCTCTCCGTTAGCTTCCCTCTTTTTAGAATGCCGTCCAACAATTCTCCACCCCCGCAACTAGGTAGAGTCAAGGAAAGTTACTCGTCCGTCACTCTTCGAATTTAAGAAAATACAATGAAAGGATACAGATCGGTGACCAGAGTCAGAGCCGATTTGCTTTCAAAGGCGTCCAGCAGTCGAACCAGTTTGGGGTGACAGAGGTGGTTCATGATGTCCATCTCGGCATTCATCAACTCCCGCACTTTACCCTTTCCGTGCATCATCTTCGCGGCGTAACTGTTACCCGTGATTCTCTGGACGGCGTGGTAGACGATGGCCTGTGTTCCTCTGGAAACGACATCCGAAAGGTCGGTTCGGGTCACGTTACGACACGAAAAATCGTACAAGGAAACAAAACCTACCTTCCCACTTCGTCCCCTATGTCGTAGAAGTCTTCGAAAGGTTTCGTGCGAGCCTTCACAATATTGGGCCTGCTGTAAGTTGCCATTACGTGTTCTAGCTCGGATTCTACGTACCAGAAAAGGCCGTTACAAAACAATCGCGCGACGTCACACGGAAATCAAAAACGCCTCTTACCTTCTACGGAGACCATGGCGGAACAGGAAACGGTGGCTGCCAAATTGCTAGCGCTACAAGAGTACAGACCGGAGTCCTTCAGGATGGCGCCGTTGATGAAAAGAGTGCACTTGTCCGGTTCTTCCCACAAGATCTTGTAACGTTCGGAGTCGTAAATGGGGAACCAGTCTTTGTACCACTTGATCTTGGGGTACGGTACACCGGTCACTCTGCAGTGCATGCGACCGCTTCTTCGATTCATGATAGAAACGTATTCCAACCGTTGGATGAACGATGGTGCCTCTGTTATAAGAAGAATAAAGATGTATTCGGTGTGTTAATGGCGTTATTTTGGCTAGGCGGAAGTTAGTCATACCCGCAATCTGGAGGTGTATCTTCTGTCTGGCGTCTCCCAAATCGTTGGTGGCGTGGCACACGTAAGTTCCCACTTCCGAATCCGTCATTTTGGGGAGGAACACGGCCACTTTTCCGTTTCTGTCGCGCAAGAAGTCGTACTTGTCTTTCTCCATCTACAAAAATTTCACACGGGATCAAAACATAGGCCAAATAAACGTTTCTGTTTTCAACTTTAACGCCGTCTTACCGGTTTTCCGTCAAAGTACCATGTGATTTCCGGTTCCGGATATCCATAAACCCAAAACTCTATGGTGACCGGTTGATCTCGGATACCGTACATGGCTTCTTCCTCTTTGCGCAGGAATCTCGGTGCTTCGGCTAGGGGGGACGAAGAACGTCGTCACAACACCCGAGTCTAGACACACACACGACATCAATAGTAGTGTTTCTACTTACCGTGTTTCTCTAATTCCGGATGTTCTATCTCGAAATCCATAGGTTCATACTTGCTAACGGGTTTGGTTTCTAAAAGTTTGCTACGACGAGCCGTCTTGTAGGGTGAAGGGTCACTCACGCCGTGTTTATTCTCTACCCTGATTCTAAATTTATAATCCTGGTCCGGTTCCAGATTTAAAACATCACACAGACAGTTCTTTATTCCTGTACACGCGAAAAGAATATCAGCAATGTTTCGAACACTACCGGTGTCGTTCGGGGTGGGTTCTTACCCGATTTATACGTGGACCATTCTCCGTCGGGGTGTAAGGCTTTCTCCACTTGATAAGTCACCGGAACCCTAGGTGACGTGGGAACGGAGGGTTTCCATCCTAGCGTCAAGTATTTGTCGGACATCCTTACGATGTAAGGCTTTTCCGGAAGAGGAACGGGAGCACCTGCAATAATCTTCATTGAAATTCCGATAGGCCCTTCACCCTGGTCGATAACACTAAATTAACACTTACCAGACTTGCGGAACTTGTCGAAATCTATAAACTGATCGCCGATCGGTGTAGTCGGATACTTAGCGTCCAAACCTATTATAAAAGATGTATTTTAGTCAAGGTTACGAACAATGGAAGGGGATAGTTTTTCAATTATTAAAGCACTAAATCCATGCACCGATTTACTTCTATATTAGGATGATTATACTTAGAAATGACTGCCATTCTGTAGAGTCCTATCTCTAAGATCCGTGCATCGTCAACACTTCACCCCTATTCTAGTGTCTTCTACTTCCACCTGTTAGCATTTAACAATTCCATTCGTAGTCTTCTCGCGCTTTCGTAAAATTTCCGTTTTGGTGTCTCAAAAATAAATCGCACCATTCGCAAAATTAGCGAGTTAAGCACTCCAAAAAAACACTGGCAAAATCGCCCAAAAAAAAATCGGAAAGTGTGAAGTGTGTTGCCATACCCATGACACTGTGAGTTACGTCTTGGATTTCAAAGAATACGGCGAACTTTTTGGAAAATTTCACCACTCAAAGAGCTCACGAGCGTTCAGAAAAAAAAAAAAAACAAAAGGAAGCGTGCCAAAATCGAAAAAAGCCAAAAGTATAACGCAGCAGTGTCATACTGTGTATGACAACACCGCTTGTTAAGGAAGCCACCAACACTCCATAATAATGAAAATAAAACTTTTTAATGGTTATATGTAAATACATATGTACATTATACGATACACAGCACAACATTCCTTTCACATTATTATTTTAAAAGTAACACAAGCAGTGGTTCTCAACTCGGAATTTTGGCAAGTGTGAAAATTACAGTTCCCTCCCCCACCCGTTTTGAGTTTGCTCCGTTTAAGCAATTTTTGATCCGAAGTAATTGAGAAACACTGTTGACACTTCCATCGACACTACCTAGGTCATGCCGGTTGTTAGGCTGGTGTTAGAAATGAGCTCTTTGAGTTTAAGTGCCACATTCAAGCAAAATCAAAGATTTACTCACAGTATCACGTGACGGGCATTCAGCAGTGTCTGGCCGCTTACACCTGAAACGAGTCTACAAGGATTTTTTTTTTGCAGTTTAAAACATTCCCTTTTCCTACGTAAACAAAGCGTAATGTGTTAATGGCAAAAAGTCAATTGTTTTCTTCTTCCTCTTTTCGGAAAATAAATATATAAATAAATCTACTTACGATAGAAAAATAAAATATTTTTGGTCCTATTTTTGAGCAAACATTTTCTATTGGTGCCACGCGCTACTTCAAAGGAAAAACGACAACTATGCGGTCATTTACAAACCGAAACCATTGTTCCCCTTGCGTGACGTCACACGAGTGTCTCACGGACTTTTGCATCCGGTAGAGGTGCACTTGTACACGAAGTACTCCAGGCCCTGCAGCAGGCTTTCGCCCTCGCACACGAGTTCGGAGGGAGTTCGTGAGTTTAGAAGCAGGGCCAAGGCGATGGCGACGCACAACAGGGCTATTTTCACGACAAGGTACGAGTCCGAGGTAGGAGAGTAAAACGGCGCCATCTTACTGTCGGGTCTCATCTTGGCCGAACAACTCTCCTTCCCGTGAACGTTGCTGATTTCCACCGTGTACTGGCCGAAGTCCGTCGAGTCCACGTCACGAACGATCAGCCTCAGGATGCCGCTGGACTCCTGTTCCATCTTACAACGCGGAGAACTCTCCAGCAGTAGCTCGTCTTTAAACCTGCGCAACGGAAGATAAAAGTCGTTTGGCGCATCGTAAGCATTTCCGGGAAGACGGGCGTGCTTACCATTTTACTTCCGGTTGAGGCGTGCCGGCGATGCAGGCCGTGAACTTGACCGTCATGCCTTCCAGGGCCTCCGCGTCCCCGATCTTCTTCAGGAAGAGAGGTGCCTCGCCTTTCTCCGGTTTCTCGCTGCGGAACCAGCATTTACGTCATCAAACGTCACAATATCCCTCTCCAACGTTTTCCCCTCTTACCTGAAAGTGACGCGCGCGGAATTCACGTCTTCGCCCGCCGCGTTTTTGACACGACATTCGTAAATTCCTCCGTCGCGGACGTTGGGATCGCAGAAGGTCAAAGTGCACGTTTCTCCGTCTTGCCGAGTGTCGTACTTGATGCCGGGTTGGATCAACTCGCCGTTGCAGTACCACGCGACCTCCAGAGGAGGATCGCCCCTCACCCTGCAACTCAGTTTGGTGGGTTGCTCGACGTTTATCTGCGGCCGAGAAAGGAAGAACGTCACAGAAAGGAAACGAATAGAGAGAGAGTTTGGGACGGACGCCACTCACCTGCGCATCGTAGAAACGTTGAACGAATCTGGGAGCTTGACGCTCGACCACTTTAACGTTTCCTTTGGAGCTCGTCTCTCCTAAAGGGTTCTTCAGCCTGCACTCGAAGGTTCCGGCGTGTTTGGCCACGGATTCTTTGATTTCCAACACCGCCTGTAAGGATTGTTCAATTGGTAATCTGGTAAAAATAACATTAGGAGCGCACTTCGCTTACCTTTTCGCCATCGAAGGTGGGTAGGACGGATTCGGAGGCGTGAAGGGGTTGGTCGTTGCAATACCACACCACTTCCGGTATGGGAAAACCGGAAATCTGAGCTTCCAGAACCATCGGTTCGCCTTCCTTCACCGTCACGTCCTTCAGAGGACTGACCACCATGGGTACGGATTCGGTTTCGCCTCCTTTGGACCTACCTGTAGAGGACGGTGGTCGGTTAAACTTGTATATATTTATCCCGCGTTAACGTCGACACCGAGATTACCTCTGACTGTCAGACTGGCTTCGCTGTCGCTGTCTCCGCTGGTGTTGCTGGCCACGCACTTGTAATCACCCTCGTCCTCGGGAAGAGCCTTTTTAATTAAAAGGCTGGCGTTTCCTTCGTCGTCACTAACAATGGATATTCTGTCGTCGTCCGCTTTTACTTCGGTGTTATTTCTTAACCTGCAAATTTAGAAATTTGCGTTAGCGTGTTCCAAACACTCGACTTGCGGTAACCTTTGTATTTACCATTTCACCCCGGGAGTGGGGATGCCGACCACTTGGACTTGGAATTTGGCGGGATAACCTTCTACTACCTTCAGAGGTTTCAAGGTCTTGACGAAACACGGAGGATCTGAAATGGAAGAAACGCGGTGAACAATACGTCGGGTTGCTTAACGGCCGGAAAAGTAAACTCTTACGCGTGACGGAAATGGGTGCCGAGCTCCTGTTCTCTCCGTGAGGATTGGCCGCCACCAAACTGTATTTTCCGGCGTCTTCGGAAGTCATGTTGTCGATCACCAAGGCCACTGTTCCGTCCTCTTCCTTCACCACTTTGACGCGATCCGAAGGAACCACCTCTTTGTCGTCCTTCATCCTTGGGAAAAAGGGGGGTGAGCATTTCCCAAAATTACAATCGGCCCGAACGGCTCAAAGAGCGGCTTACCATTTGACTTGGGGGTTCTCGCCCAAAACTTTAGCCGTCAACTTTCCGGTTTCGCCCTTTTTGACCACCAGAGGCTCCAGAGTGCCCAGGATTTGAGGTTTCTCTTTAGGAATGGCTAAAAAGAGGGAGGGTACACGCGTTACGCAACGTTTCGCTAGGGTTTAAGAGCGAAATTTAATCGGTACCGACCTTTGACCTCGACTAGAGACGAACTGTAGGCTTTACCCAAGGCGTTAGTAGCCACGATGCTGTACTTTCCACCGTCTTGGGGAAGCGCCTTGTTAACTACCAGACAAAAGGTACCATCGGGTTGGGATTGGGCGGAAACGCGCTCGTCCACCGGAATTTCTTCTCCATTCCTCAACCTGGACAGGGAATTGGTGTGAAGATCTTTGATGTGACGAAAATACTTAGAATAAAGAGGATTACCATTTAACGGAAGAGGGTTCTCCCGAAATTTTGGCTTCCAGTCGCAGAGGTTCTCCTTCCGTTACGTTGACCGATTTCAATTCGACCAACAGTTCCGGTTTCTTGCCCGTGACGGGTGAAATTGCTAAAGAGAAACGCAAATTGTTACCTCCTTCCCTAAAAATCAATTTAATTATTATAATTTTTACATAAATGTCAACTCATTCGCCTCGCCCATTTCTCTTATCCATTCCCAATCATTTGTAGCAATGAGTTGCCTGACTTTCCCGGCGAATATGCTTAAAATCGCGTGTAGCGCCAAACCCATCTTTTATAAGAAACCGAGATAATTGGTTTCGGTGGTTGTTTTTCTGGCAAACTGTTAATAAACTTACTAGTGACCGGAGCTTCACTCCGCGCTTCACCCTTGTCGTTAGACACCACCACGCTGTATTTTCCGGCGTCTTCCGGTCCCACTTTGTCGATCAACAAATTGACCGTACCGTCGGGTTCTTCCATAATCGTGTAGTGATTGGACGGGAGGATCTCGTTTCCGTCTTTGAACCTGCAAAGGTGACGTGACAATGAGTGGGGTTACGTCACGTAACGACACTTGGCGCAGTAGATAGTTTGTTAGAGAAGGTGAGAACGAGTAAGGAAACTAACGACTGACCTGTATGACGACGAAACGGTACGAAAAAACGCAAGGAACATGCATTGTCTTCCCGAAACATGCAAACGTGCAAACGGCACAGAGGATTGTTACGGGATTTTTTCTCGTTAGTAGGCTAAATACACCAATAAATTCGTTTTGGGTTCAGTGGGAAATCAGGACGAAGAAGAAAGTGGCTTGCTTACCATTTAATGGAAGGCGTGGGTTCGCCCGACACCTTGATCTGCAGTCTTCCCGCTTGACCTTCTTGTAATTGAGTGGCCTTCAGATCCTGTATAAATTTGGGTTTCTCGCCGGGTGGCGCTGAAACGAGAATTTTTACGTGGTGCCATCGGTCTGAATGATTAGGAAAAGCGGCCGTGGTACTTACGTTTGGCGTTGATCTGAGCCGTGCTCATGGCGTCGCCGCTGTCGTTAACCGCCATGATGCTGAAGGTTCCCACGTCGTCGGGAGAAACGCAATCGAAAACCAGCGCCACCGTACCGTCCGGTTCCTCCTTGGCGGTCACGTGATCGCCGAGAGAGACTTCCTCCCCGTTCTTCAACCTAATATACAAGTCGGCATTAGAATTTCAAACCGGAAACGGTACTTTATTAAGCGCAGCCTTTACCTACCACGTGATCTTGGGTTTGGGTTCTCCTGAAACTTTGGCTTCCAGTTTACCGGTTTGGCCGATTATCAAGTCCGTGGGTTTCAGTTTTTTGACGAATGCCGGTTTGCTTTCTACGGGTTTAGCCACTGGAAAGAGAAATAGAAGAATGTAGACGAGTGAACCGCGGCGGGTTCGGCTCTCGCCGGGTCTTACCTTTGATAGAAAGTTTGCTTTCGCTTCGAGCGGTACCCGCGCTATTATTGGCCACGCAAGAGTAGGTGGCCACGTCTTCCTGCTTTACTTTCCTGACGGTCAGACTGTAGCTGTTGGCATCCTTATCCGCAGCCACGACCATCTGATCCGATTCCTGAATCGCCTTCTCGTTCTTGTACCTGTCGATGTACCTTAAGTTCGCTTCTTATATTAATTAAGCCTCTAATTACGGAATTATCCTTACCATTTGACTTCCGGTATAGGGAATCCGGTGATTTTAAGAGCGAACTTGACAGCTCCTCCCACTTCCACTTCCTTATCGCCTCCTCCCTCGATAACGGGTTTGGTGGGTTCTGCAATTTTTTGATGGTCAAACTCCAAATCCTCGTAAACTTTGGCCTGGCGCCAATCGATGGTTCTTACCTTTGACGGTGAGGACCGCCTGATCCGTCGCGCTTCCTTTCTCGTTGCTGGCCTGACACGAATATTTTCCTCCGTTCTCCAGCTTCAAATCGCGGAGGGTCAAGGAATAATCGTCACCGTCGCAGGCCATTTTGACGGTGGCACTTTCTTTCATCTCTGCTCCGTCCTTCGACCTGAAAGTGAAAATTTGGTAGAACCACGTCGTCACTCGACCCTTTCCTCTCTTCCCTCCACTGTCTACTTACCAAACAATTTTGGGTTTCGGTTTGCCCGTCACCCGCACTTCGAATCTGGCAGCATCACCTACCACCGACAACTGATCCTGGAGTTTCTTGGTAAACGATGGAGCAACTGAATCGTCTTTGACTAGAAGATAACCCCGTTATTATTATTTTCGAAAGTAACCACGCGTTACTCCTCTCGAACATTACCTTTCACGGTCAGACTTCCGCTTGTGCTTTCGGTGCCAAATTTGTTGCTCAGTTCGCACGTGTACTGTCCTTCGTCGGTCTTCAGGACTTCGTCCAAGACCAGGGTGGAAGAGTCGGCCGATTCTTCTACTCGGGCGTGTTTTCCGTCCGCCTTCAGCTCCTTCCCGTCTTTCGACCTGTCAAACACGACCGTTAACCACCGCCTAATTCGAAACACTCGAGCAATGTAGCACTACTGACCACTTGACGGTGGGTTTCGGCTCTCCCGAGAACTTCACTCCCAAAGACACCTTTTCTCCTTTGCTCACCTCCGTGTTTTTCAGGGTTTGCGTGAAGGACAGCGGTTCTGTCAAGTACACGGCTAGTGTTAAACTCCTTCCCAACGACTCGCCAAGCGCGGATGCGAAATTAACTTACTGCAAACGGACAGGATCCCGCTAGTAGAGGCGCTTCCTTGCGGATTGGTGGCTTCGCAGGTGTATTTACCAGATTCCTCTAAAGTTACCTTTTCTATTTTTAATGTGTAGGACCCTTTGCTTTCGTCGGACACCAGTTTGTAGTTCTTCTTCTCCGTTACCACGTTTCCGTTCACCGACCTGAAAATTCGTAACAAGGTTTTCGTCAGGAAACGGCGCGTGGTTCTTTGTAACGGAGGAATCGATCTATCAATAGCTTACCACTTGACGGTGGGGGTGGGAGAACCCTTCACCACTACGTTAAATTCCACGTTAACGTCTCCTTCTTTAACGTCTTTATCGGAAAGTTTCTTGGTAAATTCCGGTTTGCCTGAAATGAAAAATGAGAACGTATTGTTCTAGGAGACACTAAAAAAATGAAACACGTGCAAAAATTCGTACCTTTAGTGGAGAGATTTCCGGAGGTAGTAGCTTTGCCGTGAGCGTTAGCGATCTCGCAAGCGTACTTTCCAACGTCCTCCTTCTTCACTTTATCGATGGTGAGGGTGTACGTGTTGTCTTCTTCCGTCACCTTCACGTGTCGCCCGTCTACCTTTAGTTCCTTCCCGTCCTTCAACCTAGAAGCAAAACAAATGTGCTTATCCTTCCGGTCCATCCACAAATTTTACACAAAATCCCCGCAATCCTACCATTTCAGAGTGGGTTTGGGGTTTCCGGAAACCTTCAGACTGAAACTGACGGTTTCTTCCTCGCTGCATTCCACGTTTTTCATTTCTTTGGTGAAAGACGGGGGAGCTGCAAGCAAACGTATCCCCGTTACAATCTTTCTACAATATCTTTACAATGGGGATAGGAAAGAAGCGCGTGATTACCGTTAACCACCAGGTTACTGTATCCGGCTTGACTTCCGCTTTCGTTGGTCAGGACGCAGGAGTAATTTCCGGAATCTTCGGGTTTCACTTTGTCTATCATCATTGCAAAGATTTCCTCCTTTTCTTGCAGCATTTTGATTCTGTCGCTCTCGGACAATTGTTGTCCGTCTTTGTACCTGTTTAACACACCGTGTACTTCAAACAACTAGACGTTATGTTAACTATAAAACACTACAATACAAGAAAATCTTATTACCATTTGACTTCGGGGGTGGGCTTTCCTTCCACTTCCACCTCGAATCTAACGGGTTCGTTAGTCATGACTGCCATATCCTTTAATTTTTTCCGGAAGGAAGGTGGGCCTGCAACGTCGAACGATGTTTGAAACCAGGCACGTGACTAAATAGGTAACACGGAAACGTCTACTCACACGTTACTGTCAATTTGCACGACTCTTCCACTTCTCCCATGTCGTTCTTGGCTGTCACTTTGTACTTGCCGGCATCCTCCTTCTTGACATTCTTGATAATTAGGGTGTAAGATTCGTCGTCCTCGAACAAGAAGCGAACTCTATCGCTGGCTTTGATCTCCTTCCCGTCTTTGAACCTGAACAGACAAATGCGGCGTAAGTAATTGTTTCGACGTCACACTTAAACTTGCCACGATAATTACCAAGAAACGTTGGGTTTGGGATAACCCGTGACCTTCAATTCCAACATGGCGGATGCTCCTTCGCTCACTTCTACGTCCGAAATGCTAGCTTTAATCTTCGGTGCTTCGGGATCTCTCAGAAGTTTCCTGACAGAACCTTTATTGCAAAGATTACGGTTTAGTCGTTGCCAACACACCCGGCAATCCCGAAAAATAAGGGTACGGTTCGACACTCACCTTGCACCGTTAATTCGGCACTGCACGAGATTTTGTTTCCCGACGACGTGCTTGCCACGCAGGTGTACAAACCCGCATCGTCGGGGGTCACTCGCTGAAAAACTAAGGCTAAGGTGTCTTCCTCTTCGCTGAAAGACACTTGGAAGCGATCGCTAGCTTCGAAATCCCTCCCGTCTTTAAACCTAAACAGGAATTACAAGTATCTTTCAGTTAAAACCTTGCTCACACGCGGCAATACGTAAATCTTCCACCCCGTGTTTATTACTTACCACTTGAAGGGTTTAGGAGTGGGTGGTCTTTCTAATTCTTCTTCCAGACCGCGGAATAATATTTTATGCTCTGAAGTGTAAACAAAGATAATTAATTAATTACGGTGACTTTCCGATTCCACTCGTAATACCGACTTCGGACACTCACTCGTAACTTTAATCACCCCCGTAGTCGTGTCCTTTCCCTCGCTATTAACTGCCACGCAGCTGTATTCTCCGGCATCGGCGCCGGTCACGTGATCCAAAATCAACTCGAAAACTTCCTTTGTCTCGTAGGATATCCTCACCCTCTCGTCTTCTTTCAGTTCCTTTCCGTCTTTGTAGCTAAAGACAATAAGGGTTATTTTACTCGCTTTTCGACTGTAATTAGAAGAGGCAGTGGCGCGTTATTGCGGGCCCGGGCGAATTTAAATTAGAGGACCTCGTGGGGACTTCGGGGAATTTTTTGGGAGAAGTAAGGGTATTTTCTTATAAAAGTTTGGCTCGGGTGCCCAGGCATTTGCCCTTCTTGCCCATAGGATAACTCCCACTGCCAAGGGGGCAAAGTATAAAAACTTACAAGGTGATTTTCGGTTGCGGGTTTCCTCTCACTACTAACTCGAAACGAACAGAGGTTCCTTCCAACAGCTCGGTGTCTTTAAGTTTTACTTTGAAAACTGGAGCGTGGGGTAATTCGGTACCACCTGGGGTAGTGGGACGGGAATCTTCCTTGGGAACGCCCAGCCCTCCTGAAAAATAAGCGTAAAATCTCTTGAATAGTTTCTTACACAATACCAGTTTTGTGTTATTATTTGCACACTCGAATCGAAATCACTAACCTTGTTTAACGTTCAAGGTGGCACTACAAGCCACTAAACCCTGAGCATTGTTGGCCATTACCGTGTATAGACCCACGTCTTCGGGTAGCGCTTCTTTGATGCTCAGTGTGTATTTGTCTCCCTGAGAAGTAATCTTTATCCTCTGAGATTTGGCTATGGGTTTGTTATTCTTCAGCCACTTTACCGTGGCCGGTGGGGTGGAAGCCACCACGCACTCGAAAGTGGCGGATTCTCCCTCTGTAATGTAAAAATCAGACTCTAGTCACGTTTCCGAAGTGTGTGGATCATCGTGTAATTCACGCTCAACTTACGCATGCACGTTATTCCCTTCAGTGGTTTCTGGAACTGTGGTTTACCAGGGTTACCTGGGTTACCCTTTGGATTAGCTTCTATATCTGCGTATTGTTAAAATTTGATTGTTACGACTGGCGTGATTTAAGATGCGCTTTAAGAGTCGAAACGCTCATTACCTTCGAGGGAGGAGAGAGATTCGGACCTCAAACTCTCCGTGATGTTGGTAGTGGCTTCTTCTTCCGGAAGTTCGATTTTAATGTCGGAGGTCAAAGAGGGTATCTTGGCATCCGTACGTTCTTCCTCCAATTCCACAGATTTGATGTCGGATTCTGTGTTTTCCATTTCCTTCTCTAAAGTTACTTTCTGCGCCGAGTCGGGAGCCACTTCCGGTTCGTCTTCCCCTAAATCTTCTATCACTACGGGAGTAAACAATATCAGGAAGGTTCTTACAGTGTTTGAACCGAAAGACGGATGCTTACCCGATCGAGTGACCATTTCTTTAATCCACGCCTCTCTCTGATCGCTGTTGGCGGCGCGAAATATTATGGGATAGTCTGTTTTGTCTTTGTTCTTGTGTTGAGCCTTGAAGGCTCGATCGTCTCCGTTGGCTTTTTCTACAATTTCCACGTCTTGTAACTAAAAAAAGGAGCTCGTGTTAGTCTCGAGTGAGACAAGAGACGATGGTGTCGCCTTTTCTCTTACCTTTACGATATTTTTAACAATATAAGTGTCGTTATCTGTGGTGACGCGTTTGACGTCAGTGATAAACATGTGCGCTTTGAACAGGAATACGTATCTTTCTTGTACAGTTTTAGTGGGTTCGATGACTTCTAGCCAACCCTATTGGTAAACAATAGGATGAATATTAACGACGACATTTTTTACAATTTTAGATGTTATTTCCTTTGAATTACTTACGTGTTTGAGTAAACGACCGAGTTTATGGATGTTCCCTTTGTAACCCTGCATGGCATTCAAATATTTGAGATCGGAACTCCTCTGAGGTATGCACATCATAAAGTCTAACGCTTTCTGCAAGTCGTTAGTGTCTTCTTTAAGACGGGCCGTGTACTTGATCAACTCCTGCAAAGATTTGTCTCGTGTCACCATTGGCAAGAACACAAGACAAGAGTCTCGACACTTACCCTCAGCAATAATTGATAATCGTTGATCCTCTGGATCGGTAACTTCAGGTGTTCGGACAGGGTTTTATCGTCCCCGATTCTTCGACTGTGTTCCTGCAAGAAGATAGAAACGTTAACGAAAGTTCAAAGGTCAAGTACGGAGTCAAAACGAGAAGTAATTACGTTGAAGTATTCTTTCAAAGGTCCGGTGGAGAGTAATTGCTGGGCGTGCACTTCGTCCCTGCAGTAGTTCACGTGCATATCGAAATCCCTCTCCTACATCAGAGGTAAAGATTAACGCCGTAGACGAGAGGATTACAGATTAATGGGGGAGAGATTACTCACCAAACGTAAGAAGGTTTTGCCTAATAGAGCCGGCTCCTTGGCGTAGTATTGGACTCCTTTGATCAATACACTAAAATTTTCAAAGAAGTTAGACCCGAAAACGGGCTGAAACGAAAATTATAATAAAAAAAAAAAACTTACTTATTGTGAAATTCGCAGATGGGTTTGAAGTTCATAAACAAGGATTCTCGTTGGTCCCGAAGATCTTTAGGCATCCTCGTATTGTCCATCTCTAGATAATAATTGTCCACTACGTATTGCATGTCCCTAGCGAAGTCTTCTTCGGTTTCTACGAGTTCCTTTACTATGGCCCTACGCGTAAACGAGAATAATTAATTTTCCTCCCTCCCCGTTTCTTTGTTCACATCCACAGCGACTTACTCTCTCCTGGTGGCCGCCTCCCTCTCTTTGGGATCGCTTCTGGTGTCGGCCTGCGTGGTGATGTCCGTTATGGACTTTGTCTTTTTTTCTAAGTAACAGGTGGGCACCCATCCCTCTTTGGATTCTCCTCCTTTCAGCGATCGGGTTCTCACTAACCATCTGTAAAACAGCAAAAGGTACGAAGTAAATGGAGGGGTTCACGACTCGACGCCCACATTTTCGAGTTGGCAGACACGTGTCGAGCGGTTTGTTTGCTTTTCGACACGTGACAGGAACGATGCCAGTCATTCTTTCATGGTGCAAATATTGCAAAATGTAAACAAATTCTTTTCCCCTTTTTTTATGAAGCGTGTTCGGCTCTGTCGATGCGATTCAAAGCGATGCGTAACTAATGACCACGGGCTTCTGTGACGTAACTTAATCATGCGCTAACGAGATAAGTAACCCGTGTGGCACTTTCTTATGGAAGAATGGGAGTTGGTAGAAATCCTAGTCTTCCGTGCTTCTTGTGATTTGCGTAACTAGAAGTCCTGTACTACGGTCTTCTACGTAGAAGACTAGTTACGCAACTAACGCAGGAAAGAAGCCCCCTTTCTTTCCTATTCTAACGAGGGGATGTATACCGAAAGTTACTTTAGTAGGCCTACTCCATATTTTAATCAGTTACGTCATCTAAAAGTGCCCACAGGTGGTCGAGCGGACTACCACCGAACACTGGTCGTGGGTTGGTGTCCGGACAGCAGGCAGAGGCCAGTTTCTGTGACGCTAAACAATAGCGTAACGACGTCTACATTTTTATTTCCAATAATTTAAATCGACGTCGGGTTCGAGTAACGTCGTTTTTTCCCCGACGGACGTTACGTAACTATTTCGCCGTAACGTAATATTTCGAGTAATTTTAGCATTAAAATTTCGCGTTATTCTGGTGGAGCGACGTTAAATTATAACTTTTGGCAAGCGTAACATCGATGGCAATTAGTTAATCGAGTAAAGGGCACATTCGGATAAATATAGTTACGGTAACGATGTCGACGCTCCTAAACGTTTCGTAACGTCCCGCTTACTCTCTAATTTTAGACGAATTATCGGCTCTCTCTCAACGTCACTGTGACGAGTCGAGGGTCATTTTATAACGCTCGATTGTATAGAAATTTGTAGATAAAACACTTGGTTGGCGTAAAATCTCGGATTTTGCTAGGATCGGCGAGACTTAAAGGGAAGGCGTCGACTCGACAGATGTTTAATCGTCGTTAACAATAGGAAGCGCGTAACAAATCGCATTCCCGAACAGAGAAACGACAAAGAAATCTTTCAAACGAAATCTCATTGGCAGTGGCAGATTCCACTTGGCAAATACTTCACGTCCTTGGCCCACATATCTTCGTTGCCTAGGTTACGGTCTCCGTTCTCCCTCCTCGATTCGCCATCGGACGCACGCGCCGATTTCTCTTCCCTTCGGTACCGGTATCTTCCCTCCCCCTGTTACGCGCCTTATAATCATTTGTACAAATCCACGCAAAGCAAACGACAATACAATTTTGGGTACACAATGTACTCGTGTTGTTTCCACCGAAGTGACAAAAAGTTTAGAAGAAACCCTGGGAAGACGGCACAGAAATCGAATGGTTTAACACGCGACTTTTGGTTGCGACAAAAATCGCTCGTTATCTTTTACGATTTATATCGGTAAATCGCGGAGATAATTTCTAGAAAGCCACGAAAATTCGATAGAAGGATGGGTTAAAGAAGCCGACGTAACCCATGCGGAGCGGGTCGTAACACTTCAAACGATTTGTTTATCTCACGCGAAAATCTCGAACAGATGTCGAGTGGGTCGTAGAACGAACGACGACCCCACCGCCCGCAGATTTCGCTCGTAAAAGCTAAAAACGTCAACGTCGCCATCTTTAATTTTAGATCATCCCCAAACAAAGAAATCTCCGTTTTTTTAATATGCAAAGAACGTAATTTGCACCCGTAGATGACGGTTGGCACCGTCGAAGAGAAAAATGAACTACTCACTTTCTGGGTTTGCTGGAGTCGATGATTTCCACCTCCTGTCCACTCCTCATGGGGATGGCCCCGATATCGCACTCCACGGGATTGAAATCCATGACTGCCACGTACACGTCGCGCTTCTGAAAAACCATACCCGAATCAGAATGAGGGGTTTCTTTCATTAGTACAACAGGTGGTACTCGTCGCGGGGGCGGAAGAAAATCTTAGTTAAAGTTAACCACTCTTACCTGGTGCGGGTGTACGTTTTTCCTGTCTTCCGTCTCTTCCCTCACCCAACAGCACTCGCTCCCTATCAGTTTTACCCCCGTTTCGGAGGGTGAAGTAAAGACGCGAACGACTTGTTCTTCCGATCGGGAGTAACGTCGAAATGCGGAAAAGAGACTGTCCACCCGCAAATCTACGCAATCCCTTTCGTCCTTCGTCCCTTCCTTTTCTCTCGCTAAAGCGCCTTTTTCTTCCCCCCTTATATCCACTCCGTTCTCTCTTTCTCTCCCCAAAGTCCACTCGTCGGTCGATGGGAAGGAGGTTCCGCTTTCTTCCTCGATAGAACGGAAGTCGATCTTCTCCACCACACACGCGTGTTTCGCTTCCGACTGACGAGGACGGACTAAATCTCCGTTAGTGCGTGAATTCTCTTCCACTCTAATCTTTGTCGACGCTTTATCGAGGGTAGAAACACGGTTATAACGTTTTAGTGGCAGTTCCGATTGAGAATCTTCGCTTTCTGTCGTAGAAAAAGTCGTTCTTTCAATTCCTCCGTTTTCCTCCATCGGCTCTTTCGTACGGCACGAAATTACTTGTATAGTTTTCTCCGTGTCTTCCTCCTTTATCGGACGAAACTGCTTTGTATTATCGCACTCTCCAACAAAATCTTTCGAGATATATCCGTTGTGATCCACCCTGGCTGGCACGATCTCTCTCCTCTCCACTTTCTCCTTTCCGAATCCGATCGACAATCCTTCCTGGCCAGTTTCTTTCCTCAATACATTCGTGTCTTCCGTCTTCACCTTAGCCACTTCTTTCTCTTCTCCCTTCTCTTGTAAGCTTATCACTAAATCTGATTCCGAAACAGACGCATTACATTCTTGTCCCACTCTTTCTTTCGCATTTCCTCTTCTTTCTTGTGACTTTTCCTCCTCTTTTACCTCCGGAGCCGAGGAAGAATCGTTAAATTCCCGATTGACTTTACCCTCCGTCTTGTGTTCGTCGGGTATTTTATTTTTCTCTAAAACGGATTCTTTTTTCGCGCCCTTTATAGTGTCCTCCCTCTTCGCCTCTTTCCAGATTTCCTTCTGGCTGTTTTCGGAAGATTCCACACTCTCTGTTGCACCCTCATTTTCTTTCCTCGCTTCTATCTTCAAAGGTGCTTTGTCTAACTTCGAAATTTTTTCGCCGTTTATGCTTCGTCGTTCGGTTTCTTCCCGTTTCCTTTCAATTTCCTTCCCGGATATAACGATTTCTTCTTTCCTCCTTCCCTCCCGTTCTTCCGTTCCGTCGTGGGATCTCAAACTGACCTTGCCATCCTCTTCTCGCGTGGAATCCGCATTGTTCGCTCTCGCCTCACTTTCCTTACTCCCACTTCCCACTTTAGTAAATGAATGTTTTTTCTCCCCTAATTCCATTTTCCGATTCTCCTGGCTTTCCTCTTCCGATTTTGTCTTCGCTTCCGTTATCGAATTACTTTTTACATTCTCCCGTTTCCTCGCGATTCCGTCGTCGTGTTGTTGGTCCAATCGGTCGGAAGAAACTGACGCGTCCGTCTTCTTTCCCGTTACTTCCGTTTCCTCCTTCCTTCCGGGTCTTTTTTCCATTTCCTCCTCTTGATTAACTACTTTATGAATTTGTTCTTCCGCCACTTTTCTAAAGTCCTCTTCGTTCCGTTCCGTGTTTTCTCTGTTGTCGACATTTTTCTCTGTGCTTCCGGGTATTTTCCTTTCGTCGTTCTCTTCTGTCACGCTACCTTTTCCTACTTCTCCTTCCACCCTCGTCTTCATTAAATCTGACAAAATTTCTTCTCTCGCCACGTCTCCCTTCGCCTCCTTTTTCGAGTCTGCATCTGCTTTATTACGTAACTCGATTTCTTCCCCCCTAACGCCATCTTCGTTAACATATTCCACTCGGAAGACGTCGATCTCCATTCCGGAAATGGCCACTCCTTCGTTGGCATTTGTATCGTTTGTTTTTGTTTTTTCCCATTCTTTTTCTCTTTCCTCCTCCACATTCGACGATCCATTTAATTTCTGTTCCGATACTTCACTTTCCTTTCCGTTTTCCCACGGTACGGAATCAATCTGAGGTAACCCGTCCGAGTGTTCCGCTGTTTCTCTGTCTTCTCGCCTCCTTTCACTCGCATCTTTGGTTTCTCCTCCCGTTTGGTAATCCCGCGGCTCCGATCCGCTCCACAGGATGCGACTCTTGCCCTCTGTGGTGTCATTCAATACTATAGGGGGTGGAGGTTTACCCTCGACTTCCTCTTTCCCTCTTGTTTTCTCTTCGGTAACATTTATGGAAACGTTATCCTCCCTCTCCAATAATTTAATTTCCTGTCCCTCCTCTTCCCTCTTCGCGGCACCCTCTTTTCTTTCCTCCGATTGTACATTTTCTGTATTGCCTTCCGGCTGATTCCGAACTTCTGTTTTTAACCCGTTGACCTCCACTTTCTCTAATATCAAGGAGACAGATTCGCCATTCCTTTCCTCTTCTGTCACTTCCTTTAGACGATTTTCTTCCGAAGACAACGCTTGGCATGTGGCTCTCTTTTCTTCCTCTTCTTCCTCCTCCTCTTCGCGTATTTCAAATTGACTGAAATCGATTCCCGGTTCCTCCTCGCAGTACTTTCTATATTCTCCAAAATCTAACAAACAGTTGCTGGCGTATTTACTTTCCATAGAGAAAGTCTTCCATTCCGCTTTGTATTTATCCAGCCAACTCCCCTTAACGGGTTCCAGAGATTCTTTACTCTCCTCTATAATCTCTTCTACAATCTCCTCTTTTTTCTCATCTACGTTTTCTACAAGTGTCTCTGCCTTCTTCTTTGTATCCCTGCCCCTTTCTCCTTCCACCCTCCCTTCCGGAGATTCGTCTCTATCCCCTGTTGTGGGCGTGGCTTCCAAATGAGTGGGGAGGGTCTTGCTCCTCCTGTATTTCTTCTTCTTTGCTATGGGTTTCACGGCGGCCGCCATTAGTTCGCCCTCGTGGCTCGAAATGTAAATCTCCTCTCCGTCGCGCGCTTTCAACACCTCCTTCACCCCTCCCGGAACGATTTTGTCCACCTCCCTGGGGACGAAGACTTTGTCGTCGCGGAAACTAACCAAATCTTCGCGACTAACGTCCACCTTACCTGGTAGGGGATAGACGTACTTGTAACCGGACATGGCGCGATACTTGGCGGTCACCCTGCAATGGAATTCCGACTCGCTGACGCTCATCCCGCCGCCCATCACCGGATAAGTGAACTGATATCCTCCCATCCACTTATTCTTCTCGGTTATCCGGCATCCGCTGTTGCTGCGAAAGCGAGGAAAGTCGCTGGACGAAGGGAAGTAATGATGGTCGTCCATAGAAGCGCTCTTTTGGGTGATCCTGCACCCCGGGGAGGAGTGCCTCCTCGGCTTGAGTTTTCCCGGATCCAGAGTCATCACCGCGCGTTTAGCACCCGCTACCAGCCATGAGTGAGGAACAAGGTCTAGAAGGAATAAGGTAGGCCAAGGTTCTCGTCCGACGAAAGAGGAACCTCTATAAATAGCACTCTCACTGAGGGCGCAGCGCGAGCAGGTGACTTCTAAAGCGTTATTTCCGTCCCGACGGCGGGAAACGTAGACTCGACCTTCCTCCCCCCTGCGGACAGTGTCGACGACCCCTATTCTCCGATCGGACCCGTTGAAGCGTTGAATGACACAAGAAGGCACCCACGCGCCATCTTTTCCACCAAAGTAAACAAATTCTCCGAATGACTCTGTCACTCAGTCACTCTGTGTTAGTGCCAAACTCTGTTTATATATAGTAGAGATTCGACATCTTCCGCACCTAGTTTGTAATCGCCGGCCTACCCCTTATGTAATCGAATTGTGTAAGCTTGCCGTCACGCTTGCCAACGTGTGGAAATCCTTTGGCCACGCGTCGTAAACACTGGCATTTACGTAACCCAAATCGACCCTCTTAACGAGACTTTTGGAAGCGTGGCAACACCCCCTACTTAAGATATCGGGGGTCCGATAAGTAGTGTTCTCGTTTCGCCTCCCAGAATATATTAGCGATAACTCTCCACTTGTGTGTAAACGTAACGAGCTTCTTCCCCGGTACTTCAACGCGACACACTATCGATTCCATCAGAGTGACGTTTCCAGAGCTTATCCTAATGAAACAATTGTTTTCGAAACTCCCTATCCATCAACGAAGCATCCCTTTGTCCGTGAAGTATCTATGCGAAGTGGGGATGATGGAGAACCTCCACCATTCCCACTTCTACAAAGGGACGCTTCCTTGATTGATAAGTAATTTCGTAGAGGGGGACGAGATCCCCCAAATCGGAAATGTGACGACGTTTCGGAGGGGCAACGAATAGAAAAAATTGCATCGCAGTGACGTAGAAAGTCTCGTGTGTCCACATACCTAAAGATTTATTCCCTGCTTATACAATTCTTATTGATAACTTATATTAAACCTCTGGTGCAGCAGAATACACCCATTTGAAGCGTGAATTTACGTATTTATTACAGCGAATTTTTATGAGGAGTTATTTTTGCACGTTTATTTATACGCAATCTTGGTTTATTTTAATAATGATTTATTTGTATGCGAATGATCGACGTTTTCGAGAGGATCCTCTTCTGGTAAATTTACAAATTTCGCGTATATTATACTTAATTACACCTATAATTCTTCCACTAGAATCTGGCAGATAAATTAAGAGAAAGTCTGGATTCTCTAGATCTACACTGCGAGGAGAAGGGGTTGATTATTATAGATAACCGAACAGAGGATGTATTGTGTTTGATGGGCTCGAAATTGGCTCGAGTACGTAAATCGTGTCCTTTGCAACTCACTCAATTAGTCATCAATTCGTATATAACCGTTGATAGATGTATACAAACAAGGCGTTTTTATGTGTCTAATTCCTCCGTACACTACTTTTTCTGTGTTCTATTTGTTACTTTTGCTGTGTTGTCGAGAAGAATAAGACAGTGGTAAGTTTCGCAACATTCCACTTACGTCAAACGGGATTATCAGTTAAGAAACGTGTAAATACCACCCCCTTTTGAATGACTGTCCCCCCGTTTTGACGTCACCCTAAACTACCCCACTTTTACAGGTATAAAATAGGGAAGGAAGGTCGAGCAAACTTTATTTTGATGTTAAAAACGAAAGAAATAGATTAACCGGAAGTACCCGCTTAATCGAGTTTGGCACGGTTAAGGGTAGAAAATTCCGTCAGCTGTTCTCACCTTGGCATCCGCTTCCAACTCGAACGACAGTGCGGCTGCGCGGGAGGACCTGGCCGATTGGGATCCGCTGGACTCCTCCACGTCGTGGGAATAACTCAATTTGGCCCTCTTCCACGATCCCGAATCTTCGTCGTCGCCATCCCTGCCTGCTATCCGGGTCGATCGGCGCAAACTGGACACGTCCTCCTCTACGTCGCCGGAAAATCGAGTCCGGCTGGAACGAGCGATGTACGATTCTGTATCGCGACTGGATCGCCTGGCTTCATACCTGCTGCTGCGACTACTGTAATCTTCGGTGCCTGAAAATACGTCATTTTGTCAATATGGCCGGAAAATCGAAGCATAGGTGTATAACCGGATACGCGAGTCCAACGAAATTTATCCGTAGAAACTCGAGCTGGAAACTATCCGGATAATCGCGAGGACAATTAAAAATCGCTAATCGGAGATGCCACCGTTAACTTTTCAAATTATTAACATTAGAGGGCGCCACCGAACAAAGAGGTCCGTTATACTCTCGCGGGAAAAAATATCTTCGGGGGAGTAAGGGGGGAAAGAAGTAAAAACCACTTCCTACCTTCGGTTCTTCTGTAACTGGACGAGCGATAGGAACGTGAATAAGACATCCTAAAACCAGGCACCACCTAGTCGTGAATAAAGCAACAGTTAAAAGTAGGCAAAGGCTAATCAAAACGTCGCGCCGAGGGGGGTCGGAATTCCTCCTTGCCTCCCCCAATCGTAAATCGAGATAGGTGGCTGCGGTGGTGTGGTCTCACCGTTCGACACCCAAAGCCACCTGTCCCATTAGAGTAAGATTTATAGCGCCCTTCCTACCTCGAAACGTCTCTCCTACCTCCAACGAGGCGCACCAAAGCCAAGAGTAAAGTTTTTGACTGACACCAACCCCGAAACGAGGCTCTCGGATCTTTCGGGTGGGCGAGATAAAAGTTATTCTTGTCCCCTACTTTCTACAGTTTATTTACTAAGCGGCCCTCGTTAGCGATATTCGCTCTCTTTTATTTTTAATCGCCGGATTCCGCCATCACGTGACCCGGGCAGGCCAGGCGGGGGTGGATCCGACGCTTTCGCACCCCGCGCCGCCTATCCCCTGGCGTAACCGGATTCGAATACGCCGGTACGCTTTGATTCTCCGCCATTAACGCGCGCGCGACGCGACCTTGCGGGACGGAGGAACCGGAGGGGTGGAGCAGACATCTAGAGCCTCTTGGCAAACGATACTCCAGACAGAACGAATAAGGCAAGGCAGAGTAATGGCGCTATTCAAACTCCTAAATATAGAACGCTCCTCCGCGTTATCCTCCGTCTTTTCTCGATATCGTAACCCTCGTAACGCTATCCGCTTTTTTAAAATCATAACGCGATATTTCCACGTGCTTGTGACGTAACCGAACTCCTTCCTTCCTCGTATGCGCGTTGACGCTACCCCACTTTCGTTATCCTCGGTAAGAATTACACCGAAAGTAAATATTTCCTTCGGTCGCCACCGTGGAAATTTAATAAGTTTCGGTAGAAAACGATATTTTCGTGTTAAAAAAGTTATTGTGGGGAAATTTCCCGCACGTCCGGAAATTTCGCGACCAATTCCATCTGACAAAAGACTCGTTTATAACGGAATTTTTGAAATTTTAGTTAACTCGACCGTGAGGTAATTTCCCTAAAAAATTTCCCCAACCGGGAAATTTAATACGAAAAGTTCCCTAACTTTTCAACGGATTATTTGATACGCGTCACCTTGTTTCCTTGGCGAAATCTTCGACTGATACTGGGGAAATTATTTCTCGCCACTTCGGGGAAATTTCCCTAGGTAAAAGAAGATTCCCGTTGTTTACTCCAAACAGCGTTTTCCCGTCTCGGTAGCCGTGTGTGTTATCTCCACACCGCGTTATCCCCGAATTCCAACGCGAACTAAAAATAAACTAAGTGTGCGTTGCGTGAAGCAAAATATGACCAAAATAGCATTAATAACCTTTAAAAATAGAGGTAAAATTTTGCTTCACTCGGGAATTCTTTCAGTAAACACGACACACAAGAATCTCAGTTTTTTGATCAACGACTTTTACTTCAACACATACACACACTTAAAAATAAATAGGGATCTTCAACTCGGAAAGATAAATTATGCGCTACACTCCATAAAGTAATATTAAAAATCCATTATCATGTTACCGACGAAGGAGTTTGGCTTGCGGCTTCCTGGTCCTTTTGTCAAAAAGAAGTGAAAAGTAGGGAAAAAATGAAAGAAAAAAAAAACACTGGTTAAAATTCGGAGATTGCTGTTATCAGTAATTATAAGATAATGCAAGATAATGCATTTTGTCTAAAAATAATACAGGTGAGTAAGAGCCCCGAATCCGATGCCAAACACTTTGGTCACGTGCTTCAGAGGCAATTAGTGGTGAAAATTAAGAGGATTAGGAAAGTGGCGCTTACCTCTTGGTTGTTGCAGTTCGCTCTTGTGTAGCTATCTGCGACTAACTGCAACGAGACAACGTCGTTCCTATCCCGGATTGTCTTCCCCTTGCTGATGTCTGCATATTCCAAGGGCGCCTTCAGCGCGATGCCGCAGCCAAAATTGTTTAAGACCTCTACCTCGGGCACCACTTGATCCGGGCTCAGGGCAGAAAGGGAGGAAGTCGAATCGTCGATCGCCTGCGCAATTTTTTCTTTTTAAAAAATGCCATTTAAACCCGATTTAAGAGGAAAATAATCCCTGCTTTACCTCGGAAAACTGGTGCTCTTCGCTGACGTCATTAGCCGTGTATTCTAGGGTGCCGGTCGACGCAACGTCTTCGAACCCGTCGACTAAGCTCTGCGGAGAGAAAAATCGATCATCCCGAATAATCGGGTTCGAATTCACGCCCGTAAACTTACCTGCATCTGTTCCGAAGCGCTTAGGGATTTTCTGTAGCTTCCATCTGAAAGTTGGGAAACGACCGATCACCATCGATTAAAATTCCATCGATAATTTTCAAACTTACCTTCCTCTTCGCCTTCGGTTTCGGAACCGTCGTCGATTAGTATCAATAATCGAGTGTCGCCTGTAAAAATCGATTAAAATTACGTAATCGCTTGGCATCCTGTAAATGAGGTTTCTCCTCACGCACCGCGAGTACCGAGCGCGCGACAGAGATGTGGTAAAGTGTTATAAAAATCGATCTATCGAATCGACATTTGGCAACACTTAAACCCTGTAGACCTAATTAGTCCACCATACGCCACCTGGTAGCGATAACGTTAACTGATTTCGCCCCCTGGCGACGTTTACCTTGCTCGTCGGTCGAGGTACCCTCCACTGTCCCTTCGGTGGTGGAATCTGCCCTTCCTGGAAAATAATAAAAACGCCGTTATTACATCGTATAAGGCGCACCCCGTATTTAAAAAAGACAAAACTCGCCTTCATCGTAGTAGTAGAGGGAACCGTAACTCGAAACTTGCCCGTGACGGTTTTCGGCCCTGCACTCGTACTCCCCGTCGTCG